GATGCTTATGCTTGGGGCAACGCACCCAAACCATTGAGTTGAGACCCACGAATGCACCTCTCCAAAAGCTTTGCATCGCTGATTGTCATGAATGTGGGCCTCAAAAGTTCAAGGAATACCTCTGGCAAACAGTCACCATCTGCTGTTACCATTACACCAAGAATCGTTTTCAGCAGGACAGAACCTGTGTAGTTTAGCAGGATCTTAATGTTTCACACTATGGTTAAGAACGGCTATAATGTTTTTTTTTATCATGGTGTAAGTGGTAACATCAACTTCCTGTCTGTGGGAGTCAACTTCTTCAGAGTATTCTGACGTATTGCCAAGCCTTAATGTTTTTTATGTTTTTTTTTTATTTTTTATTTTTGTATCAGTGAGCTTTCCGCGCCCCCAATTGGTTTTCCATATTCAAGTCATCCTTTGTCCTTGCTTTTAAGTTCAAAAGGTGCATCCACATTCTCTTTTGGGCATGGCCAGTACAATCCAATGTAATAACTTTCAATCCAACATGTACAGATTTTCAAAAGTTTTGAAGGCTTTCCTGTCTCCGTTAGACACCATCCACTTGTAATGTTTTTTTTTGTAGTTCAATGGAACTCCTCCAAAGGATAAAAGCTCATTCCGCCTCCAGGGCTGGTGAACTACCATTAAAGTTAATGTCACACTCACCAGTGGCCAAATGCTCTCTTCTCCTCTCAGGGAACTTCTTGTCATCCCCTTCACACTGTGACTCTTTGAGGGCACGCTTTTGACAAGCTTTTGACAATACAGTGTAGTCCAGAACTTCGCCAGAATACCCCTGTCAAAGAGGAAAAACCTCGCTTCGCTCAAGTTCCGTCAAGGCTCACAGCTGCACTTGCTGTCTCATCAACTGCTTGATTGTCATCAACGATAATGTTTCGCGGCTTCTGACTTGCGTTTAAAAGTTCTTCCCATGAATAATTTTCTACAACGCCGAGGATGTTATTTACCTGTTTTTAGTATGCATTTGTTGACAAACAAGGCATGTTCATAATTGGACAGAAGGATGCACCCGCAAAATAGTGAAGCTAATCAAGGGGGGTCCCTCATGACCAGTCCCAGATTCAAGAGAGTGATAAACTGCCCGTTTATTCGCATTTAAAGGATTTTCCCCTGCTTGTGATGTTTGTTGACGTTTGGCGTGAAGTGCTCTCATCGTAAGCACTACATATAAGAAAAAGGTTAGACTTCAGTCTTTCCGGCTGATTCTCTCCAACGACGTTGGAATATGAGACACAAAGTATTTGGGACTCAATTTGTGATTTAAACACAAAATTAATGTGCTGGGTGGTTAGTTCAATAATGGAAATATAAATGCACATTTGTATAATGAACAAGTAAAAGCATTAAAACCTCAAGATTAATGAGTAAGGTTCAATATCGACTGAAATTCTCTTAACCTCCAGCTCGGAAACACATATTTAAGTTTCAGAAAATTGCCCTGATTTTTCAAATCGATAAGTCTGTAATGAGTCGGTTCGCTTTTCCCAATTCTTCGGGGATGAACTGGGTGGCTGTTCGTCCCAGTCCTCGGAGTCTGACGTTTCAGGTTTTCCCTGCGAGGTGCTAGCTTTTGCTCGAATTCTCTTTCTTCTGACGGAATCTTTTCACAAGTTTTCGCTTTCTATTACATCCACCAAATCTTTGAACTTTGCCTAGGCCTAGCATGAAAGGACCGCAGTATTATAGGTGTGGACAATAAATACCTTTTATAACATGATCACCGTATTGATAGGCGTCTCAAAGCTGCGGCCATAGCAAAAGTACGTGGCTCTGAAATGTGGACTTTAAAATTTTAATTTACTATTCAGGGTTACTCCTAGAATCTTAACATTATTAGCAATGTCTCCCTTAGTGCGGTCCATGGAAAGTTCTAAGTCATATTTGCATACGCCAACGGAGAATGTCTGTGTCTTGCTGTTGTTAACATTGAGATGGTTTTTTAGGAGCCAGATCTTTGTTGAACAGAAACTCCAGTGTATTTGGAGATACATCAGCTCCATAGCTTGTGGTATCATCAGTGTTAAGGATGGTTAGTTTTGAGTTTGAGTCAGTGGAAAGGTATTTATCTCAATTCATTCCTCATCTTATAGTTTCTCGCCTTTCGTTCCTCTCTCTAGTACGATGTTTCAACCGTAGCGAGACTGGGCATAAATTGGTGACCTGTTCATCGCCGAAAATACGCGTGAGGCAGGGCTGAGAAAGGAACTGGCATTCCAGGACTTATAACGGAAAGGAAAATTGCCGTGTACTAGCACCGTTTTCACGACAATGCTTAACTGCAAAATCTGCTGGAAAAATTCTGACCTCTCCTGAAACACTGCCTTTTTGTTCCGTTTGTCTTACTAAAAAATAGCTCTTTTTGATAAAAAATTGTTTCAGTTTGGGTAAAGTAATGATAATCAGTCATATTTTTACTCGCAGGTGGTTTAAATGAATAACATGACCGTATGTTCCCTAGCTAAAACCGAGGAATATCCGAGGATACACCCAAGAATTATTCCACAACTTTCAAACCTTGTGTCTACTACATTAAGTCGTCGTCTAAAATTGAATTCAAGATCAGAGAGCGTTATCCTGCTGATACAAACGAAGGAGATACTCCTACGAGTGACCTAGATATAACTTCTTCTTACAATATCAATACAGTATTAGGCAGACAAGTGATGAGAATCAGGAAAAATATCAATTAAGGGATCATTAGGTGATCCAATACTAAATTCCTCAAACTAACATCATGAGAATTGTATATCAGAGTAAGGAGAATTAGTAATGAGATCTCGGGAGTAAGAGGGAATCAAGTCGCAAGAGCAAGTCGAACAACTTAGACTACGATTCGATAAATTGGAGGTACAACAATAAACGTCACCCGGCCACAGGAGAAGCTAATGAAGCTGGTAGAATTCATGGAAAAAATCTTGTTTGTGGGAGGCTTCACAGGAATACACAGTTTGATGGAGACTTTAGGAAAACAGCATAACATGCAAGTCAATGTCCCTTGGATTCCTCATCGTCAAAGTGCTCGATGAATATTACCTTAATCTTATAAACAAATGGAAGAGGCCATATCATGTATGCAAACCAATTGCTGAGGGCTCCGAAACTTTCCTTTAAAACATGTGACTACGGCGAAAGGTTCCCTTCATCGCTATCAAAGTCGCCAGCCAGTCTTGTGAGGATCTTACCGGTGATTATTGATGGATAAATTTTAGAATTTAGGACCCTAGCCCCTTTTAATTTGAACTCTTGGTACTACCTGCCTTTTCTCATCAACGTGTTATCCGAGTTGAAAATTAGAAATATACCAGTTAAATATAAGGAATGAGCTTTTTGATTTAGGGACAATTGAATTCATTTAGTAAACTGGCATTTACAGCGGCGAACTTTTCGTGCCAAACTAGAGTATAATTGCAAAGGAAACATTGTGCGCTAAAAAAACCAGTTGTGAACAGTGTGCTATACAAGAATTACCACAAATACCCTCGAAATATGTCCTCGTCACATCCTTCCCGTTAACAAATTATGCCCTGAGAAATTCATCCTGAAAACTTACTTGGCATGTTGGATTTTGGTCAAAGGGACTGTTAAAAAAAACAAACAAACAAAAAAAAAGCCGATGTATGTTCCAGTCTATGTACTCTCGTAAAGCCGGAATGTTGACAATAGCTCACGTGGTCTTGAAAACGTTCTGCTGTGACTACATTTAATAATGAGCTTAAGTACAATATTTTCTGATGTTTTCTTTACGGTTTCTGGCGTATGATTGAACCTGCAGCCTTCAGCATGTTTTACGCTCGGTTTTTTTTTAAATTTTTATTTTATTTTGACAGCTCTTCTCTTTTCAATTGCTCATCAAATTGCCAATAAATATATATTTAGGATTATTCAAATGAAAACAATTTTTTTCAACCGCAATTTTTCCATGTAGACCATTTCGTCACCTGTTATCGTCCACAAGTCAAAACATGATATTTGGTTCTATTTATGATCGCAACTGATTTTATTACATTTCTACAAAGGATGAGTCAATGCTGGAACGTTAGACGCCGTTCGTGTTGACGAGCATGATTACAAACGATTAGACATAGTTTGAAGCTACACTGGTTTGCAGATTTAATGAATGTAACCGAAGAAGTTACAATTCATAGACCCAACGTTTCGACACTCCTGTCTAGTGCCTTCATCAGGGGTGATCTAAACGCTGCAACAAGAGGTCCTTTTATATGTTCACTAATTAGCGGCCTTTTTTTCTGACGAGGTGTAAATAGGCGTCAGGAAGCAAACCGCCATCGTCACGATTTAAAGGAGCGTGGGCGGAGTTAATGTGCCAAGCCTCCAAACAAAGGCGCTGGTGGTAACGCCGATTAGTGGTGATAATTTTAGAATTATCCCACCCAATTGTATGGTTGGTTAGGCAAGTATGCTCCGATAAAGCTGAATTTTCCTTTTTGCAAAGAAAAACCGCTTTTTGGTGCTCTTTTAACCGTGTACCAAACTGGCGTTTGGTCTGTCCGATGTATTCGTTGTCACAGTCATTGCAAGGATTTAAATGTGTCCAGAGGGGTTCGGGGTAATTTAGAGACAAGTGTCTACCGTAAACCCACCCACACCGACAAATACCTCGCTTTCGATTCTCACCATCCTATTTGCCATAAGAAGTCTGTAGCCAAAACTTTACTTAGGAGGGCTGATTGTCTACCATCATCACTCGATTCGAAGGCTGAGGAGAGGAAATATGTTTCCAATGTCCTAAAGGCAAATGGCTACACAAAAACTTTTCTCCGTAACTGCCAAAAACCAGTTACAAATAGTAACGCTCTTGATGAAAGGGAACCAGCGACTGGTTTTGCTGTTATTCCTTACATACAAGGTGTTACTGAACCCATCAAGAGAATTATTTAGGTATTTGTCGGTGTGGGTGGGTTTACGGTAGACACTTGTCTCTAAATTACCCCGAACCCCTCTGGACACATTTAAATCCTTGCAATGACTGTGACAACGAATACATCGGACAGACCAAACGCCAGTTTGGTACACGGTTAAAAGAGCACCAAAAAGCGGTTTTTCTTTGCAAAAAGGAAAATTCAGCTTTATCGGAGCATACTTGCCTAACCAACCATACAATTGGGTGGGATAATTCTAAAATTATCACCACTAATCGGCGTTACCACCAGCGCCTTTGTTTGGAGGCTTGGCACATTAACTCCGCCCACGCTCCTTTAAATCGTGACGATGGCGGTTTGCTTTCTGATGCCTATTTACACCTCGTCAGAAAAAAAAGCCGCTAATTAGTGAACATATAAAAGGACCTCTTGTTGCAGCGTTTAGCTCACCCCTGATGAAGGCACTAGACAGGAGTGTCGAAACGTTGGATCTATGAATTGTAACTTCTTCGGTTACATTCATTAAATCTGCAAACCAGTGTAGCTTCAAACTATATCTGATTGTCCACCTGATTGCCGTGTGAACTTTAATATACAAACGATTATTTTATGTGCATATGATACAGAGGCCAAAAAGGGTAATTAACATCAACATTAACGAATAGAAAGTAGGCACTCAATGTTTGAAAGAGGACACTACTTATTGAATGCCATTTAGGTATAATTTAGAGGGATGTCTTGTAACTTCTGTCTATGTCTTAATTAAGCAGTAGTGATACTCAACGAAGCGTAGCCTCCAAACGATAAAATCACTCGTAAAAGCCATGCTAACCATCGAAAAAGTGAAATCTACACGTTGTGCTTTTTTTATGAAATTAGCGTAAAATAGTGACCTAAAGTCACCATCAAATATTGGTGCTACTCGGGATTAGGTTTGTGGCAGTCATTGTTTTTGCTCGCGAGGCTCTTTAGTTCAAGTACGTTGTAGAAGCGTTGACGCAAAATATCAACAACAAAATTATGTTTCTTAAATTCTAGCCTCCAATGTTACGTCTTGGTGACATTTCAGTCAATATAAATCGCCACCATTTGGTCTTGGCAAGTTGCTGAAATCTTACCTAGAAAGCAAACACTCCGAAAGAAGCACTTTGGAGGTTTTTTGACATGTTTCTCAATCTGTATTTGCATATCACGATTGGTCAATTTACGTTCTGTTTCCCTCGTGAGACGTTGCACGTACGCTTGGCTTATAGGAACAGAGGCCATTTACTCCCTGTAAAACATGAATGTAGATCAGCTAAATGATCTATGAATTGAAATTATGAATCACTCAGCGACTCCTACCTATGTAGGATTTTATTATCTACCTTTTCAGGTTGCTGCTTTCAGTGTTTCGTTTGCCGTCCGCAGGTTTCTCGAGGTTCTCGTTGAAAAAGGTATTTGTTGAATGGCCAGCAGTCACCTCTTTACTTCACAAAAAGGGCGTTTGAAATAACAGCGAACGTAAGCTAATCTGATGAGACTGAATCCTGGTATACAAAGAGAAGCCGTACCTACATTTCGCACGGACTTCTCTTCAGAGATAATGTTTCAATTTCTGTTATTCGAGAGATCAAGCGTCTGTTTTGAGGCACACCGTAGGACGTCAGCAGATCGCCTGAAAGGAAAATATTTATGAATTCTGTTACCGCTGTTTTCTTTGGCGTAGTTTTTGAAGAATAGTGAACCCTCTCGCTGTGCTAGCTACCAAAATGTTTTCAAAGTGACCTCGGCGAACGAGCTTGTTACAACCTTTTGTCGAAGTAGTGGCATGACGATCGTTATTCAAATTATCTCGACATCAAAGAGGATGAATTATTGAAAATATCTAACTAGCTAATTGACAATAGATTATTTTCGGTATCAAAGTGTATGTAAATCCCTTCCTAGGAAAATGTGGAAAAAAAAAACTGGCGATGGTTGGAGCTTTTTTCCACCAAAAATTTAACAAAATTGGAGCTTTAGAATTTATTTTTGATGGAAGGGTTGCGAGAGGTGCCCTACTTCAGGGGGTCGTAACGAGGTATGTGAAATTAGGGAACAAAGGAGAAGGGGGAGGGAGGGTTCAGGGACTGGAAGCCTGGGATCGGGTATTAAAGCCATGGTATCAGGGAAGGGTAGAAGGGAACGGGGAAGGGTACGGCTACAGATAGGTCAGATACGACCGGAAGCAGGAGCCCATTACTTATATGAGCTTCTGCCGGAAGCTAACTATTGTGCTTACTATCTGGCGTGGCATTACCATCAATCGTCCGATTGTGTATGACTCAAATTATGTTTTTTCAGGTGTCATCGCATCTCTCATCGGTTGAGATCGCTGGTGATTTCGGTTTGCGCTCACATCGCGTCATCTGTGCAGTCTTCTGCCATCGTTCCTTTTGGCATCGGGGCATTGTCTCTGTCCAAGGGGAAACGTGAAAAAGGGAACGAAAGAACAGTGATTGTTGCTATCTGAAGTTCCTCTTGACCTTCGTTGAGTTGATTTGTGTCAATTGCTGCTTTGCTGGGCAATCCCTTAACAAGATTTATCGATGTTGCTTTAAAAACTTATTTTCCTGACTTCCTTCGTCGACAGGTCACGTTTCCGCTCTCGATCATCCGACTCTCGCAGTCAATACGAATTCACTCATCAAGTACTAAGGCTGCACATTTGTGCGTATTAATGCGCATTAGATGCTGTGGCTTAGGCATTAAGACTTCAGGTTACTGTCAACAAAATCTGATCAAAATTTTCAACATTTTCTGCTCTCTAGCTAAAGAAATCGTCCTAGTGTAATTTTCCGGGAAAAAAAAAAAATCTTAAAAGTAATGCGAGATACGGCTGAAAGAGTATTTTGGGGCAGCTTGTACCATGTGAAAGGTGTAATAATCCGGTGGTCTCCGGCAGAGTGTTGATGTATTTTTCGCGGACTTTCGTGCGGGATCTCGATTTGCATTTTTCGTTTATCCAGCACGTATTGCACCGCAAAGACGAGGTGGATTTTTCATATTTCCCACAACATTAAGAAACAAAAGTCTTTATAAAACGGTCACAAATAAAAGTCGCCTTGTGGCAAATCTAAGAGAAAGCCCGATCCAGAGAAGTCGTTTTTGATGAAGCGAAAAAGTCTGACCTTGCTCTTTGCTTTTCCCGATTAAAAATTAAAAAATAATAAATGGCTCGACAGTATTCGTGGGCTGGCCGATCATGTTCTAACTAACTTGACGCGAGGTTTTGACCTATTGGGGGGTCAGGCCTAATTATTCTTGTTGAGGTAAGTGTTCTATGTTTTTGTCTCCCAAACGCCCACCAGTCTCCTCGATCACGAGACTACTGAAGTTTCGGATATGTAGAGATAGCTAGAGTGAATGAGATTTTAAACTCCTTTTAACCGTGGGATTGTATACCCAAAATTGGGCGTTCTGTTAGCAAACTAGGCGCGCGAAGAACCAGACGCGGTTGAAGCTTGTGGGGAATTAGTAAGGATAGCCCACACTGTCTCGTCTTCACTAGATTTTTATTCTTCTCCTCTTCTATTCTCACTAGGTTTCACAACTGTCACAACTCCTCGACTCGACTGATATGAAAGATTACTTCGACTGAAAGCTAAATAAATCACAGACAATTGTTCCTTATCTTTGCGGGACACCTTAGTTAAAAAGAACGCTGATTGGCTAGATACGAATCTTCCAGACATAAGAATAACAAAATTTCCAGACAAACATTTCACAATCGCTATTTGATATCTATGCTATTATTCTGTTTCCGACACACTCCCCCCCATGTGCCTTCCAAACGGAAGCACATGTAAACAGAGGAAACGGCTAGCTTAATTAATAATTAAATTGAAATCAGAAACAAAACAAAACAAAGTAATGAATGTCAAAGTTCGCTGAAATCACTTTATATTCTCCGTCCATCCGCACAGTTCTGTCCTGCGTTTAGTTTTAAAGTTCTTCACTCTCTATAGCGTCACGAATATGCAAGTTTGCGGCAAGCGCAGCATCTCTCCGTGGACGAAAAACTGGCGCTTTAGCATTCAGGGGGGTAAGGACTTCAGCTCTCTCCGGCGCTCTATCGCATGCTAGTTCCATGGGATAAAGGTGTTGAATCGGCCTCTCCAGAAACGTTTTCCCTGCGCGCAGCTTCACTCCACGTACAATTCCATCACGGCCGTTGAATAGTTTAACGACCACTCCTAATGGCCACTTTCCTCGGTTCTTTTCTTCTGAACGAATGAGAACGACGTCACCAGGCTTTAAGGGCCTCGCCTTGCCTTTTCCATTGCAGTTGTGACGCTCTCTGAGCGCCGCCAAGTACTCTCGAGACCAGCGTCTCCACACAGCGTCCTTACAAGACCTCAAATACTTGGCACGCTTTCGTAGGTCAGTTGTCTCCTCTCGCCATGGTTCTTGTTCAGGGAGGCGAATACATCTTTGGAATAGGAAAGAAGATGGGGTGAGTAGAGGGAGCTGGACTTCATCTTCTACATAGGACAGGGGGCGGCGATTTAGTTGAGTTTCAACATCCAGCACGACTTCGCACAGCTCTGACCGGGATAGCATTCCTCCACCAATTACTTTATAGAATGCACGTTTGAAGAGGCCCACTAGTCGCTCAAACTGGCCACCCCACCAGGGTGCTCGACTTAGGTTAAACCTCCAGATAATCTTCTCCGATGCAAGGTAGCCTTGAACTTGCTCATCTTTCTGGATTCCTTTCAGTAGGTTTGCCGCTCCTACGAACGTTTTTCCATTGTCTGAAAAGATCTTTAAAGGTCGTCCACGTCTAGCGATGAAACGCTTCAAGCTTGAAAGAAAGGTAGTAGTTTCCAGATTAGGCAGGACCTCCAAGTACAAGGCTCTCGTTAAACTGCACGTGTTGAGCACCAGATAGCCTTTTCCTTCTACACGAGAGGACTTGCGGTACTTAATCGGCCCAGCAAAATCTACGCCAACAATTTCAAAGGGAGTTGAGCCCTCAGTTCTCTCCAGAGGCAATAAACCGGGGGTGGAGCTGCGAGAGCAACAGCCTGGAAGCGTTTGCACCCATAACACTCCCTGATGACTTTCTTCGCGAGGCGCCTCAGGCGGGGAATCCAGAACTCTTCTCTCACTTTAGCCATAGTAAGCCCCACTCCCCCGTGAAGGGTGGCTTTGTGGACGTGTTCGACATATTTGTTTGCGAACGTTGTGGCGTCTGGGATGTATATCGGATAGACCCCTTGCAGTCTCCCACGGCACTCAAGCAATCCATCTTTGTTCTTCTGTAAGTTTAGGCACAGGCGATCTTCCTCCATGCTTTCACTTCCCCGGCTCTGTACGCGTAGCAACCAAAAGTGTTTCTGCTTCTCAATTTCGTCTGTTGTCAGGGGTCCCTTTGTTCTTGTCGCTCTTTTCGCTCTAGCGTTTGCGAACCGCATAATCCAAGCGCACACTCGCAAAGTCTTCCAGTAGTTGTGCTTGGCCAGAAGATGGTCTAGATCGTCATCAGCTTTAACGGCCATGGCAAAGAGCTCCTTTGTAGCTTTCATTTCTGCGTTAGATTCAGCGGTGGGCGCGGTCACAAGGTCGGCTGGCCATTTCGCAGGATCCCTTAGCCACTCTGGTCCCTTCCACCACAGTTGGTTCTCAGTTACAAGTCCACCTCGGCTAGCAAGATCTGCAGGATTATCCTGAGTAGGTACGTGCCTCCAGACAACATCAGAGTGTTCTCTAATTTTTCGTACCCGGTTGGCCACAAACTGCTTATAGTCTCCTCCTCCTAGTATCCAATGTAAGGCAACGCTGCTGTCAAGCCAACAATGCAGCGAAGTCACAGGGAATCCTTGAAGTGCATCTTGTACGTTGGTCAGAAGATTTACAGCCATGTGACCGGAGACCAGTTCGCGGCGAGGTATTGTCAGCCCTTGTTTGGCCAGTCTTGCCTTTGCTGTAACCAGGCCTTGGTTGATTTCGCTTGACTGTTTGACCACAGCGTACACAGAAGCGGCCACGCCCTTTCCGCTCGCGTCTCCAAAAGCATGAAGTTTAATGTCCTCGATAGGTTCTTGGACGCTGGTAAGTGCTCGAGGACAAGTTACGTGTTGCGGCAAGGAACGTTCCCACTTCTGCCACTGCTGTTCTAGGGGGTTGGATAACGGAGCGTCCCATGCACGTTTCTCTTCACAGGCATCGCGGTACAGAAGCTTTCCTTGCAGGGTGATTGGAGCGATAAGACCAAGGGGGTCATAGATCCTCGCCACTTTTCCCAGAATCTCTCTCTTTGTCGGTTGGGCAACTTCCTCTGGAATTGTAACTCCAACTTCGTCCGACAGTTTGTTCCACTTTAAACCAAGCAGCCCACATTCTCTCGGCTTGATTCCGAGTTGTTGCTTGGCGTAGCTTAAGTCATCCCCAGTTTCAGTTTCTTCAGTGAGCTCTAGTTCAGTCACGTTTGAATGCCACTTGTGTAAGTGAAAGGTGGCCTGGTGGAACATCTCAGTTGCTGTAGCTTTCTTTTGTTTCGCTTCTTGGATAGTACCTCCACCAGAAATGAGATCGTCAACGTACAGTTCTCGCTCGATTTCTGCTACGCGATCAGGGTGTGTAGGTCTGCAAGTGTTCAGATGGTGCTGAATTACGCCGCCAAGCAGAAACGGCGAGGGTCCCAAACCAAACAGAGCTCTGGTGAATCGGTACGTGCGAACACGAAAAGGATCCTTGCTTTCCAACCAATGAAACCGCAGTGCATCTCGGTCCTGCTCTCGGATACGCACTTGAAGAAATGCTTTGCGAATATCACCAGCGATAGCCACTGAATGAAACCGTCCCCTTAGGAGTACCTTCCATAGTTGATTCTGCAGGGGTGGTCCAACTTCCAGACAGTCGTTTAGGGAAGGGGCTGAGTCGTACGCTCTTGCTGAGGCATCGTAGACAATACGCATCTTGGTAGTTTCTGCACTCTCTCTCACTACTGCTTTGTGCGGGATGTAGAATTCTCTTTGAGTTGCTGGCATCTCTGCTTCTTCAATAATTCCTTCATTAAGCTGTTCTTGTATGATAGCGTCATAGTCGTCTAGCCTTCCTGTCTTCTTAAGTCGTTGGACTAGGCTCCCCAGTCGCTTTAAGCTTCCAGACTTGTTAAAGGGCAACGGAGGATGGTCCCCTTTCCAGGGAAGGCCAGTTTCATACCAACCCTCAGGGCTGCGGCTGAGTTGTTCAAGGAATTCTTCATAAACAACGCTCTGATCGCCATTAGGTTTGTCTTCGAGTCCTAGGACGTCCATCCGGTAAAGCTCTTCATAGTCATTCGAGGCCGTCTGCGCTAGAAACATCTTGTCCAGGTCTGTCTCCGTTCCTGGTGACATGATGGTCCATCCAAAAAGAGTGTACTCAGCCACAGGCTCGCCGATAGCTCCGGTGCGTTGGGATTCTCGAGTTTTTATCTTCGCGTAGTCACTCGCGCCCAGAATAACATGGACCGGAAGTAAGCTCTTAGTGTCGGTGTCTTCCATTGAAACGCCTTCCAGATGGCGGTATTTGCTGATCATTTCCTTATAGTTAGGATTTTCCACGGACAAAAGTTCAGCGCGGTCTACTCTAGTTACTCGTAATGAAATTGCATTGTTTCCTTTAGTGTCACTCACTTGCGTATTGTAAGTTTCTGTCCGCTTAGTCACTATGCCCACGATAGTTTGTATACGGCGTGTTAGAGTGCGAGCTGGTACGAGGTTTAGACGATCCAAGATGTATCCTGAAGCATAAGACGCAGTCGCACCGGTGTCCAGTAGGGCTCTACAGGTCACGCCATTCAACTTGACAAGTACGATTGGATGGCAGACTTTCTCTCCTTCTTGAGTTGCAGTTAGAGCCACTCCGCCGTTGTTCGCTCTTTGGCGTCCAGTTGCCGACGGTCGGTCGCAAATAGATGAGTGGTGCCTTTGTTTGCAGTGTACGCAAGATGCGCGGCTTCGGCATTGTGAATCGCTGTGTTAAGGCCCAGTGCAGTTGAAGCACAAGCGTTTGTTTTGTAGAATGCGACGGCGCTCCGCTGGAGATGTCACGTTCTCACACTCCCAAGATCTGTGTGTCACGCGATCGCAGTAGACACACGCGTGTCGTGGGTTGGGTTCGCCCTGTCGCGCGTAGAAACTTCTGTCACGAGGCAAACGTGGGGGACGCGGCGGACGCGGCGGGTGATAAATCGGCGGAGTCGGAGACGTTTCGTTTGCCTTTTCTACCCCCAGAGTTTCCATCGGATGAATGGCTTTCCATTCTTCTAAAGCCTGCATAAGGTCCCCGAAACCCCAATCTTGCCATCCCGGTTTTCCGCTCACGAGGTCTGCCTTTATGTCTGGCAATTTGTCTAGGACGCCACGCACCATAAATAAACACCCAGAAAGTTTACCTAGAGTCTCTAATGATTGAACATTGTAGTTCAAAGTCTGACAAAATTTATGAATTTCATTAGGGATGCATCCAGTTACCACAGGTAAACCATTGATGTTATCAATATACGCTCTCACAATCTCGCTTGTTTTGCCATAATTGGACTTCAAGATATTTTTAGCACGTTCATAACCTTCAGGACTAAATGGGAGGCCATCGATTGATTCACAAACATCACTTTCCAGTAATTCTTTGAGATGAGCAAATTTAGTAACCGGGGGAATATCGGCTGCATCGATTTCCGCTTTGAACTTGTTCCAAAAGGAAAGCCACTTTTCGTAGGTGCCGTCATATTTCGTAATTACCAGCTTTGGCATTTTGACATTTCCCTTACTTAGGGGTTTTTCGGCGGGCTGATCGGGTGACTGCATTTTTGATTTTTGCTCAAGTTTAAGTTTTTCAAAGTTCAGTTCATCCTCCCTCCTTTTGGCTAGAAGAGCCTCTTCCTCTTCCCGTTTTTTGTTTATTGCTTTTGCCCCAGCTTCTTCGAGATGACGATTTAAATCTTCTACTTCTTTATCTACATCATCAATCGTTTGCTCGATAATTTTTCCCCATTCATCAACTTCGTCAATGCTTTTCCCCGCTTCAAGCTTACCTTTCTCGATGTCTAGCTTCAAGTCTTCTATAGATGCCACAATCTTTCCCAGAGTTTCTTTATGTCGAGTGATCTTCTCGATATTTCCCTTCTCCACGACAGATTTCGTCCTTCCTCGTGTAAGCTTTAGAAGCTGAAGTTCTGCCTCCAGTTTAGCTTCCATTGACTAACAGGTTGTCCAAATCACTGCGAGTCCCGTCGGAGGTGCCACTAATGTGGGGAATTAGTAAGGATAGCCCACACTGTCTCGTCTTCACTAGATTTTTATTCTTCTCCTCTTCTATTCTCACTAGGTTTCACAACTGTCACAACTCCTCGACTCGACTGATATGAAAGATTACTTCGACTGAAAGCTAAATAAATCACAGACAATTGTTCCTTATCTTTGCGGGACACCTTAGTTAAAAAGAACGCCGATTGGCTAGATACGAATCTTCCAGACATAAGAATAACAAAATTTCCAGACAAACATTTCACAATCGCTATTTGATATCTATGCTATTATTCTGTTTCCGACAAAGCTCGAAGCGAAGACGTTGACATTCGTCCCATCTTTTCATCAATTGCCTTGAACAGGCCACTTTCCTAATCCAAGAAGTTCAGTTTGCTTTTCCAGCCGGTTTCCTAGCACTCTGCGATAGCAAGCTGGTCAATCAAACAAACCTCAAAGCTATTAATCAAAGGGCTCTGAGAGCCAGCTCATTCATGTAATGGATAATTTTTATTGTATCTGTTATTGCTGGTCATGGGAATTATTTGGGGTGACCTCCCATTCAGAGGCTAATTTCTTGGCCTATGTCCCCTCCTGTGAAGCCCCATTTTTTTACATGCATCTCCCCTAAACATCAGGAGGATCCCCATGCGTCATAAAAAATGGACAGTGTCTTGATATAATTGCCACATTCACATAAATAATTGAAGTTAACACAAGATAAGTTTATTTCAAAATGAGATAAAAACATGAACAGCAAAATTATGGTAATTGAAACTGAGCAGTGTTATAATCTCAGATACAGGAGTATGATGCATTTTTTTAAACAGTGCTTCTCATGCTGACTATTTACAAGCAAGTAGTTAATTAGTCTACATTAAAAATTACGCAATCAAAGCAAAGTAACAATAACACTGTTAGGAATGGAATGAGGGCAGTAGATATTTTTATTAAAATTTAGAATAAAATCAAGTTCTGAAGGATACTAAGAAAGAAAGTAAAATATTTGATTATTTGTTTTCTGTGATTAAGAGTTGCCATCATGCTTAGTTTTATATATATGGTAGTGAAAAAGTTACCATCTTTCCAACAATGAAATCGTAACATTAAACAATAGCTTTAATAATTAAAAAAACAACAGTAACAATAACAATTGGAAAACCACCTGGGCAGGTTCTGTGGTAATTAAGCATTATGAAGTTCAATGCATTTTTTTCCATTAAGAATATTATATGAAAGAAAAACAAACAACAGTAACAGTAACAGTAACAATGGGAAAACTACCTGTGCAGGTTCTCTGGTAATTGAGCATTATCAAGTTCAATGCATTTCTTTCCATTAAGAATATTAAACAATATAAACAGCCCATAAATTGCAAACGCTTTCGTTAACTTCTCCTTTTTGTGCAAAGAATGTAGCAAATGAACTTTTAACCATAAGTTCTATTGTTTGTATGAATGTCAGTCAGCACCACCAAGTTCAATTGATTTTACAATTTTTTCATCCATAATAACTTGAAAACATAAGTTGCTGACATTTAGAACGGTTTGTTCATCTTGTGATTCATTTAACTCGCCCACGTGTGTTGTTGAGGTCGATGTTGCTGCCTGTGGTTTGGAAAAGAGCAAGCGAATCTTATTGGCGAAGAAGGACAGCTTCGTCTTGATAAACTTGATAATATTTCCTGTGATTGATCTAATGTGACTGGTAGCCATCTCAAGCAAGTTTTAAATGAGAGATTGTTTCGTGGTTCGTATTGCAGATTGTAAAGCAAATTGTAAAGTAAATTGTACAGCAGTTATTGTACGAGCGAGCCTCAAGTCTGGGCCGAAACAGGAGCTCCAATGTTTTAGTGTGACTATCTTGGCCGCTATTATTGATGTGTGCGTTGTAGGTTGAAGAGCTCCAAGGGAAAAGCACAATAATAAAGCAATGATTTACGTACTTACCACGACTTTCCAATGCAATTCAACGCAAAATAATAACCTTAGCAACTATCCAATATGGCTGCCTCGATGGTCCGTCTCGTCCACGTGATAGCGAATGCGTGTGCCAAAAAACTGTTTAGGGTACCCCTAGTTGCGAACATTTTCATTGTGCAAGCACATGAATGAGCTAAAAAAAGTGTCTGAAGAGAACGTCTGAAAAAGGCTTTAGATGATCTTAGAACATAATAGGTAAGGAGCCTGTTTGGAGTGCACCTCTCGACAGAGCATTTGTTCTTTTAAGTTAAACACCTATACATAGACTTAATTTTTCACAAACTTTATGTTTCTGGGAAGCTTTCTTCCCAAGAAAAGACGTTATGCACACTACAAATCGTTTCACTAAAACTCTGCGAGTTTACTTCAAAGATCACTCCTCGAATCGGTTTAAAGTGATCTCGTCCTTTAGTACCACAAAGTAAATACTTAAAGTACTTTAGATATCTTGATAATACAGGAAGCCCTGATGTAATAATATCAACGATAAATAGTGCAATGACATCTTAAACTTTACATTTCTATTGAAGTAATTCGCGCTCTGTTCGAAATTACAGAATGTCGAAGCTGAACCGCATTCGCAAATGACTCAAAATGACAATACCATTTTCCCTCTCCACCGTCGCCACTTTCGTGTTTCCTTCAAAACGTAACTTCATATCAATACGAAAAAGTCAGTGTGATGGTATGGTTGATGAATTTAACTCGTGATTCAAAGGAAGGTAAAAGTGCTTGATGTCATTCTCTATCCTACACGGGGGGTACCTACTGCAGTATATGTTATGACTTTTCTTGTTCATTCTTCAGCGAGAGCGTACGTTTATTTTCCGTTAAGTCACTCGCATCAGTTTCTAAACCCTGGATACGTTGTGGTGTAATTTTATCCGTGATTTTGTTTGTCAGTTTCAGTCATATATCAAACATTGCCGTACCTAACAAAAAGGAAAATAAATAAAGAAAAAAACGAAAAGAGGGCAAATAAATTTTAAACCAAAGATTAATTGGAACCTCACCGTACGCATCCCATACAACTTTACAACAACCTTATACACCTTTACAAAATGTTTGTCACTTTCACAACCAACACTTTTGACAACTTAGCCCCGTTATTGTAATAACGGTCTAATGTCGACCATAACTGTACTGTCTATTTTTTGACCTTGGCCTTGATCCGTAGTAATTGATTGGATTGACAGGGAGTCTTCCATATAAAGGTATTGAATAATCAGGTAATGACACGAAATACCAGTCACATCACGTTTCATGACTTGCTGCCTATGGCCACGCACTTTCTGTCCCATTCCGGGGTATTAAGCGACGATAACATAAAGTCTGCAACATCGGCTCTTGGTATGAACCATGACGTGTTTGGGACAATCTGCCCTTCTTGTACTGAGTAATCTCCTTTGGCCGGACCTGAATGAGGAGATAAAGCCTAATGAATCTCGTGCAATCAGGAAATACACATTTAGCCTCAAGTGGTATTATCTTTTATCATATGACTAGTTCCGCACTGACTAATTCGTTGGGCTTTGAAAATATTGTGGATTTCTTCCTATTAGACACCTAATGAGCTCGTAACTTCCCTCATCCCAAATTTTCAAAGAGACAAAAGGGTCGATCAGCCCAGTAGAAGGAATCCTTGTACCTTATTCTGCCGGAGACAGACATTGACCCATTGACCCCCCCATTGACAGTCATCTGGTAACAATTTATACTCCAGGGTGGAAAAAGTGAATAAAAAAGTTATGGGATAAAGAGGGCCGGGCAGGACTTACACCTAGACCCCTCGACTCCAGATTCCGCGAATCGTCAGGCCTAAAAACAACAACTGCAAATCGTAGATCTAATTATTTTATTCACCATTCTTTAATCCTGGAGGACGCACAACGGTGTAGTTCAAATTTGTTTCCATGAGCATCCTCTCCATCAACGCCATGTCATGTATGAATCCGGCCATCATCAACGGCTTGAGCAAGTACTCCATAAGTTTAGGATTTCCTGGTTCTTTCTGAGTGCCCCATGATGTTACGCAGACTAATCTATCCACGTTACTCCTATACGGAGAAAATTACTTTTGTGAGTAAACTACCTCAAGCTGTGTACAAACGTAAATGTGATATGAAGCTTGTGTACAAAGGTGAATGTGATATGAAGCTTGTTGAAGTACGCGAAAGCAAAAGAAGACAAGGAGAAAAAAAGAAAATGCAAATGCAACGACTAGTTTTCGCGCTTGTTTTTCGGGTCACTCGCAATATTTGTTCAACGTCCCGCGTGCATCCGTAACTCGATGGTGTGCGATGTAGTGTTAACCATTTGTTTTATGACACAACATCGATACATTGAAGGAAAAGAGTTCCCTCTACTTGAACAAATCATTCGTAACCAGACAAAACAAGTGCGCGAAACTAGTCATGATTTGCTCACGTCAAAAGCCTACACCTACCCATGGGCAAAGAGTAGACTCTGACTTGACCGATCAGAGCGCGCGCTTTTGTGGAGGGTGATTACCGCATTACTCCTCAACCACTTCTGACCTCCACACACTCGTGAGTGATGCTTTGGCCTTTAAGAAGCGCATTAAACGCTGGGTCGTAAGGTTCGGGTTCGCTCTTTTTTCAGGAGCTCTCGTGGAAGGTTGCTATGTGATGCAGCATGTAGTATCATTTTCTCACTGATGTACCAAACTCACCTGTTGTATAGATGGATAATTTTAAACCATTCTTTATGGGAACCCACAATCTGTTTACACTCTAAAAAGTAAACTTACCTCTCCATCGCTGCTGATATTGACTTCATTGACTCTGAGTACAAAGTTGTGTGCTTAAAGACACTTGTTCCATGTGCACCAAGGCAAGATAATACAGCGTCTTTGTCTTGAAGAATGGGATTTAGTGACTCTGAGTCAAACACGTCTCCTTTTATGACTTCCAACTTTTCATGTCTGTGTAATAAAATCCGCAAGGTAATTATCATTGCTCAGAAGCGAAATAGGTCTTACGCTGTGCAGATTAAAAAGGTGAGAACCATTTGCCTTAAACTACTTCAGAATTCCTTCTCCATCTAGAGAATATAAGGCCTTATGTGTAAGGGATTTCTTGTTCATCAGTAACCAAATGAACCAGTTTTCCACGCTGATATGGACGATCAAAGAAGCAAATAATTACTATAGCTACGACATTAACAATACCTGTAAAGGGCTATTTAAAAACTTTTATACATTAAAAAATAATAATAATTTCGTAAAGGGGAATTAGTTGATAAGGCAATCGTGAAAATTGCCAAAATAGCGAGTGGAAGATCTAAGACACCGAATCCTTTGAAAACACTTGAAGGTACCTTTATTTAATCAGCAAAGAACACTACTAAGTTTTTTTTTTCTTCGCATTACGCTTTTATTCTATTTACCTCTCATACGGTACTTGCGTGATATAAGAGCTGGCGTGACCTTGGTCACGCACTTTTAATGCAAATGTAACCTATCCTATTTTCTTTCACAAAATGGAGGGAAGTTATCACAAAGGAAAAATACAAAACGAGCGAGTGCCATTATCACGTGCAGTTTCCGATAGATGCTTTAAGTTCAGATCCAACTAACTCTGGAACAAAGAAACATTTGTTCAAGTCGCTTTCGTACACTGTCTTAAAAATCATTTGTGTGCTGTACAATTGATAGTTTCCATTACGATTAAATTTTATTCAATCGTTTATATTCGACCAGCTTTGCAAGTGATGTCCGCTGTAAATTTTAAAAATTTGAGAAATATGATGGTAGATGAGTCACTTAACTGCCCAGGTTCTCAAAGGTTCAACTCGAACGTTCGCACGTTCGCCCGTCACGCTACAATAAGAGAGCGAGACTTCAGTGAAAACAATTAAGAGTCCATATACTCACCTGATGTCAAATTTGTCCGGACTCCTTACAACAGCGGAAACCAAGTGACCTTTATTCAATGCTTGTTGTACCAAATGACGTCCAGTTGGCCCTGACGCCCCAAAAATCACCAGCTTGGGAAAGAGTAGTTCGGCCGCCATGATAAACCGGTTAGGGTGTTTACATTTTGATTCCTAGGTTGTGAAAGACCAAACAGTGTGTCGCAAGAAGGTAGCTTACCGCATTTGCTCTAATCCGAGTGTAAAAAAGGATATTCTTTTGATGTTCAACGCTATCGACTTAAGGAGAAAACAAAAATTTTATGGGACAGCCTGAAACTTGAACTTTTGCCTTATTTGCTTCGGACTCGTTTTGAATGCAAAAATCTCACAGCAACGTCAATCTTGGAAACCAGTTCAAGTTTCGAAGGATAAAGAGCAGACAATTTGTGGTGATCTCTGAATTGCTAACTATTGAGCCTCACCCAGAAATACGTGACTGTTTGAGAGAGATGGGCTCACATCCACAAGACCTGAGAGTTCTCTGCAATTCATTTAAGTTTACCAGAATCTCTAAGAATTTTTTCCCTCTCTTTTTTATTTTCCCCACTCACACGAAGCTGGAGAGTGGGAGTCACTAAGTATCAAGTATCTTAAAAAAATGTCCAAACTAATCTTAAGCTAGTTAAACTTTAAGGCCCAGGTGAGATTCCATTTCTCATTACAGGTAAAAGTTCACTATGAATAATTCTGGTTGCAGCCGGATTCAAACTAGTAACATTAAAGTAAGTATCATCTCTTATCTCTTTTTCCACACTTGACATCTTGCGCATCTTATGGAAAGCTTCCCTTACCGACCATGATCCGGAAGGGACGGTTCACGCTCCAACCATGATCTGCTACGTGTGTCGACAGATAAAACAATGAATTAATAAATATAAATCGACGCCGCTTGAACTCTGGAATTTTTTAACCCCTTCCCAGGTTCTTTTTATCACGTTATTTGTGTATCTATGTATAGTCAATTTGTTTGTCCATATCATGCTTTATTTCTGCCGGTGTCTGTTTACTTGCAAGACCGATCACCGCGGGAAAAAGGAAATTAATTTTGATCTTGCACTGAAGGCGTTCATATGTACTTAAGGTGAATAAGTTGCGTCGCAGGTGTGCTGTGAAATTATCGAGAAATACAGATTTAATCTGCTCCTTGTGCCTATACTTCACCTGTGACATCAAATTTGCTAAGTCATTTGAATACATTCATCCAACCGATACAGAAGAATGAGAAGTTTTCTCACTAAAGAAGATAAAGAAAACATGTCGGCGGAAATGTTGCCTAAGTACCTTATGTAGACTTTCTTCCTCTAAGTGCGTGATCACTGGCAATTATTTAAGCGCACAGGAAGAGATAGAGGGACAAAGTACGAAAACGGATAAGTCTTCCTGCTGTTCTTTTGCTTTGCGTTGACATCACACCCGCCCTTATGCAGTTAATTAGAACCTAGTGCATACTACATAACACCGTGAACAATTGGCTCATCAGGAGGAAACCTTTCTTAATTGCTACTTTTCATCAATACTGGTCGTCAAGAAGCCGGGGGACATAGCTGCTAAACTGATCTGATCGTGCATCTTTGTGGCCCTCATTCATCAGCTGGCTTAGTCATATCTTTTTTGAGACCTCCTCTGACACTTCTCTTAGCTCAAGTTACTTTTGTTTTCCAAAAATGAAGTAACATGATTAGCACAAGAATTTAGCAATTTGATACCTTTGGTTGATTCTCTTTATTCTCAAGTGCACAATAAACTTTATAAAGGCACCCCAACCTTCCGCTTTGATCAGATAAACTGGAGGTATTCGAACGATAAACTCTACTTAAGTTTTGCCTTGCTCGTAATCATGTTGAATCCGTTCGTGTCCCTTTTTGTACTGCATCTCTTCATTCTGAGTTTGACTGTGTCTGGAAGAGGAATGGCTCATAAAAACCGTTTAGAGAAAACTTCATGTTCTGAAGAGACGAAAAACTCGCCTGAAACGAAGGGTCCAAAGAAGCACTTTAAGAGTCTAATTCAAGAAGGATGTAAGTTAAACGATGTATTTCCTCTTGCTCTATTTTTTGAATGTATTCAGTTACTGATGCGATGAGGAAACGATATCATAAACTTACAGGTTTTTTAAATGATCGATAAACTTAAAAATCTAATGGTTTATTTGCTCTCAGCTCTCAACTTTACGTGGATTATAATTTTACGAAGGAAAGCAGAAGTTTGCAATCTTAATAGAGTACAGACAATTTTTATTTATAGCGACTTGATCTGCATAGCCCTAAAGCCCAAAGACCAAAAGGGAAAAGTCTTGAAAATGAAAATTCCTTAATTTCACTTTTATCTTGTTTTAGCTGCTGATCAGCACAATGAAGTCCAAATTGAACCATTTTCAAGCAAGGAAACAGAACGCAAACTTCTTCCAGAGAAGAAAGAAGATGAAGCTGATGCTTGCCGAAGGGTGCCAATGTATGTGAGCTTTTCGAATCTTAAAAATAGTACCCTATTTGATCTAGTCATTGCACCTTCGGGGTTCAATGCTTTTAAGTGTGTGGGGAAGTGCAAACCTAACAATTATTCACTGATGATGGCAATGCTGAACTCAAAGAACAAGAGGTACCCAACCGATGGCGGCAGGTCCTGTTGCGTCCCAATAAAGTGGCGATCAGTCTCTTTATTGGTGTTTCAGCAGGAGAAGGTTTTATTGAGGAAATTTGATAATATGATTGTTCAGGAATGCGGGTGTATGTGAAACTTTTTGGTCCTTACGATTAACTGTTAAGATTTTTGTGTAGTGTCGGGCAAACTTTAAACGGTGGACACCTTTACGCTTGATAAGGCCACCTTCATGTAATTTGCGAAAGTTTTCGTTTAGCGAAGGAACTGTTACCAATATAAACAATGCTGATTAACAATTGTAATTTTTTTTAAAAAACTTATGGGATATTAGCGTATTGTGAACATCCAGTACAATTCTTCATTGTTGTGATGCAGATTACAGTAATAAAAGTTTGCCACTTCATCGAGATGTTTCAGTGTAAAAGGATTTCATGTGACTGAGAAGCTTCCCAATCCAAAGCAAATCCTGTATAAGGACATCCGCCGGACAGTTGTCAGATTCCTTAGGGATAAATTCCCCAGTTGAGCAGCAGTATTAGTAAGAGAGAGCATTTTCTCCTTAATCGTCTTTATTACTCTTGAAAATTTGTCACAAGCATTCCGAAAGTGATTTTACTGAAAGGTCTCTGGGTTTTTGAATGCAAGATACGTTGCAGCTTCAGAAAACAAACGAAGTGAGAAAAAAAACCATTGTCCACAGAAAAATTTTGCTTTACAGCTGAGCTTCGATCAGTTAAGGTTCTCAGAAAACAAAAGCATTAAAAAAAAGAAGTGCCTAATAGTTGTGTAGAATCCTCCCTTTGGCCGAGAGGTTTTCCTCAGGGATTTAAATCTTGAGGGTATAAGAATACCATATGGAGAGAAGGCCATCGCAAAACTGTGATATTTTCTCAGAGTGGGTGTTTTGATGACATGCAAGTTTCTAGTGTTAAGCAGTCATATGGGTCCTGAAGGTAAGGCGATCGGTAACGATGGAACAAAGTCTAGGAAAAAAGTACGTAAAAATGTTCATCGACATCACAGTTGTTGGTAATAGTTCAGACGTTTCAGTATCTAAAGGCATTTTATTCGAAATGAAAATACCAGTGAAATGCCCCTTGCAGATAAGAGTATTTTCTCTCGGACTAAGAGAGCTTATAGTATCCAAGAGTATGTGGTGCAAGACAATTAGGAAGCAACCTGCTGTGCTAGAATTCTATGATTAAGAAAACTCTCACACTTACGGTCTTTCAGTACTTGTTTCTTCTAAGGAAATAAGGACGGTCTTAATGAACACAGTTTGCTTAGCACAAAGACACTTAATCTATAGCATAGTTACATGCAATGTGCTCAGTCAAACCGAAAGTCTATCCAAGGAACAGAAGGCCATTTTTTTTTCCAGCGAAAGCTATTATTGGACGAAGATTCGCATGCTCTCAATTCAGTTTCGAATTACCTAAAAACGAAAAAACTTCACATCAAATTTACTTATTTTATTTGATTCGCCGTAATTAAGAACGTTTCTCTGCACTGAACAACATACAGCTTCTGACAGGAGCAATGTATCCACTCTTACCTCAAGGACGAGCTTCTGAGAACTGTTTTGAGCTGAGTTGAAAACGTTAATTGGCCACCGTAAAGAGTAAAAAAGCTCGAGACGTCAGCTTTTTTACTCTTTACGGTGGCTAATTTACGTTTTTAACTCAGTTGTTAACACTTAATTACTGCTATACTCTCCCACCGACGCAGCACTACAGTTTCTTAAGAAACTTACCCCCTTTATTCACCTGTTGTTTTGAGTTTGCCTCAGCAACTTATTGTAATTTAATTTTTTTACAAACTACTGAAAATCTTTCAGCGTTTTCTGGTTTTTTGATCAGTGAAGGACACCAAACCAAAACAAATAATGCCTGCGGGGAAAAAATGGCGGGCGTTAAAGTCAGCTTTTTTTTGACTTATAGAAGTGATAATTGGTTAAGAACAAGTAAGTATTGATAAACCCACGGGACAAGAAAAGTTTATAACGCTACGTGATAATCAACAGGGTTAGAAGAGTGGATATAACGAGTTTCCATGAGCAGATGATCGTGAAACCACTCAACCAAACTTGCGAAATAGCTGAGTAAGAGACAAATTGTTTAGAACGAGGCTGGTAGATTAAACTCTCTGTAATAATTCTACTGGAGGTAATAACCCTTCTATATGCAAGGGGTGAAATTTAATTCCTAATTCCTCATGAAGAAGTTGGAAAAATAAATCGGAGTTTTCGCTCTTCAGAATCAATTCTTAGTTACTACGAGTAATCAAGACTTTATTTTCTTGGAAGAGAATCACTTAATTATCATAGTTGTTTAACCCACTGACTCGCTGCCGAATGTAAAATACATGCAGTACCCAATACAAAATACAAAACGTCAATCGATCATGAGCATAGTCAACATTGAGTTATCGAGTGAAAAAAAATATATATGTGTATGTAATATTATACAATAGAGACAAAATTTCGACTGAGAACTGTTTGGTAGAGAAGTTAGTTCTCTACAGTAAACCGGCAATAACTCGTTAAAAACGGTAAGTCTAATGACAACCTCTTCTCCCATGCAAATGTCTCAGAATAGTACCCTTCTGGATCCCCTCTGAATGAGGAGTTTTCAGTTCTCTTTTTGAATGGGGAAGTATTTGTTTTCTAAGCTAATGGTCTTTAAAGTATTATTTGGGATGTTGTGTCTTGTATTTAGTTTTATCTATCCTTTAGTCATGAGCTTCAATACCTATCGGGAAAATGCAAACTATAAAGCAAAATTTTCATAAGCTCATCAGCTATTCGCTGATGAAGTGCCCTAAAAGACTCTAACTGTAGCTGATATCTAAAGGTATATACAAACCCGACTTTTTTACCGCAGTGGTTCGATTCGCGCCTGATGTAATTCTTACCTTCAAATTTCTCTGTTAAAAGAAGACTTTACACTTATAATTAAGATTAAATCGTTAACCTCTCGTCTAATTCAGCAGCAGTAACATTTAAATCGGTATGTTTCAAGTCATACGAATGTGAGCACTTGAAAAGCTAACAGACGAAACGGATCAATGGAACATGATAGGTAAATAACCTTCCTTTTGATCTGTTCTTGAGTTTCAATCAATTGAAAGTTCCTGCCAGACAACAAAAATGTTTGTGTGGAAACAGAAAAAGACAACCTGATGAAAGTACGGATTTTAGGTCAACTTCCTCAAAGAAGAGGTGTTGATTCTGTTTAGGGGGTTATAATTCCCTTGTTTACTGAAAGGTGAGATATCTCTTTGGGAGGTAAGATTTTTTTGAGCTTAGAGGAGATGATTGCCCTCTGGAGAGGGTTGTGAAATCTCAGCGCATAGAATTGATAACGTCCTTACGAGGTTAATTTACTTTGTGTTTACCAGTAATTAAGAGTCCGTGGGGTTACACGAAACACAGCTACAAAAACAGGCAAAAGTACACAGAATGTTGTTTACTTTGTTGCTGTAACGATCGGGTTATGAACTTTAATTGATGGGTAATAAGTGAAAAATAACAATAACATGCATAGCAGGAAAGCAATTTACTTAGCAAGAGAAAATGGGAGAACGCTTCCTTTATTTTCATTTGATCTTTGTGAATGAACGATTAATGAGGCGGATATCCTGTTCACGTGAAAGCCTAATTAAGGGGGCCGGGGAGGGTGGGGAGGGGTAGCCTAGTGCAGTATCCGATAGGATCTTCAGCGAGTGGGTACGTTTATTTTCTGTTAACCCCTTAACTAATAAGATCTTATTGTTAATTCTCCTTCAGGCTGCTACACATTTCCTTGTAAATAAGTTACGAGAATTTGGTGTCAGATCAAGGTAACAACTTCGATCTGATAAGTTTGAATATTCCCATGACCTGTTTGCTGGATAAATTTAAGTTATTATAGGGAGAAGTTAGTTCTCAATCACTTCTGGGAGTTAAGGGGGTTAATTCACTCACATCAGTTTCTAAACCTTAGATACGTTGTGGTGTAATTTTATCAGGGATTTTGTTCGTCAGTTTCAGTCATATATCACACATTGCCGTACCTAATAAAAAGGAAATAAATAAGGTATAAAACCGAAAAAAAGGCAAATAAATTTTAGACCAAAGATTAATTGGAACCTCATCGTACACATCTTATACAACTTTACAACAACCTTATACACCTTTACAAAATGTTTCTCACTTTCATAACAAACAGTCTTGCTTTGCCCCTTTATTGTAATAATGGTCTTATGTTGACCATAGCTGTACTGTCTATTTTTTTAACTTTGGCCTTGACCCGTGCTACTTGATTGAATTAACAAGGAGTCTTCCATATAAGGGTATCAAATAATCAGTTAACGACACGAAATACCAGTCACATCACGTGTCATGACTTGCTGCCTATGGCCACGCACTTTCTGTCCCATTCCAGGGTATTAATTAATCCTCTGCTTCGGACTCGTTGTTAATGCAAAAATCGCACAGCAACATCAATCTTGGAAACTAGTTCAAGTTTCGAAGGATAAATAGCAGACACTTTGTGGTGATCTCTGAATTACTAAATATCGAGCCTCACCCAGAAATACGTGACTGTTTGAGAGAGATGGGCTCAGATCCACAAGACCTGAGAGTTCTCTGCAATTCATTAAAGTTTTCAGCCGGATCTCTAATAATTTTTTCCCTCTTTTTTATTTTCCCCACACACATGAAGCTGGAGAGTGGGAGTCATTAAGTGCCAAGTACCTCAAAAAATGTCCAAATTGATCCTAAGTTAGTTAAACTATAAGCCCGAGGTGAGATTCCACTTCTCATTTAAGGTAAAAGTTCACAATGAATAATTTTGGTTGAAGCGGGAATCAAACGAGTCGTATAAAAGTAAGTATCATCTCTCATCTCGTTTCCTACACTCGATATCTTGCGCGTCGTATGGAAAGCTTCCCTTACCGACCATGCTCCGGAAGGGACGCTTTACGCTCCGACTATTGTCACGAATAGTACAGACACGTAACGTAGACTACGTGCAGGCTCTTTTCCATATCATGACCTGCCGCGTGAGTCGACAGATAAAACAATGAATTTAGAAATATAGAAGGATTTTTTTGTTTTTTTTTTACATCTTCCCAGGTTCTTTTTATCACGTTATTAATGTATTTATGTATAGTTTATGTGTTTGTTCATTTATTATATGTTTGCACATCATGCTTTATTTTTGCCTGTGTCTGTTTACTTGCGAGACGGATCACGGTGGGAAAAACTAATTAATTGAAATCTTACACTGAAAGCGTTCTTATGTACTTAGGGTGAATAAGGCGCGTTGCAGGTGTGCTGTGAAATTAACGAGAAATATAGTGAAATATGACTCTTCTGCTCCTTGTGCCTAAACTTCACTTACGACATCAAATTTGCTGAGTCATTTGAATGCATTGATTCAACCGACCCAGCTATAATCAAAAGAATGTGAAGTTTTCTCACTAAAGAAGATAACGAAAATATGTCAGTGGAAATGTTTCCTAAGTACTTTGTGTAGACTTTCTTCATGTAAGTGCGTACAGGAAGAGATAGAGGGACAAATTACTAAAACCGATGAGCCTTCCTACTGTTCTTTTGCTCTGCGTTGACATCACACCGCATTTATGCAGTTAATTAGAACCCGGTGCATACTGCACAGAACTAACCATTGGCTTATCATAAGGAATCCTCCCTAATTGCTGCTTTTCATCAATACTGGCCGGGGGACATGGCTGCTAAACTAATCTGATTGTGCATCTTTGTGGCCCTCATTCATCAGGTAGCTGAGTCAAATCTTTTTTCGAGACCTCCTCTGACACTTCTCTCAGCTCAAGCCACTTTTGTTTTTCAAAAAAGAAATAACACGATAGCACAAGAATTTAGCAATTTGACACCTTTGGTTGATTCTCTTGATTCTGAAGTGTACAATAAACTTTATAAGCCACCTCAACCTTCCGCTTTGATCAGATAAACTGGAGGTATTCGAACGATAAACTCTACTTAAGTTTTGCCTTGCTCGTAATCATGTTGAATCCGTTCGTGTCCCTTTTTGTACTGCATCTCTTCATTCTGAGTTTGACTGTGTCTGGAAGGGGAATGTTTCATAAAAACCGTTTACAGAAAACTTCGTGTTCTGAAGAGCCGAAAAACTCTCCTGAAACGAAGGGTCCAAAGAAGCACTTTTCGAGTCTAATTCAAGGAGGATGTAAGTTAAACGATGTATTTCCTCTTGCTCGATTTTTCTGAATGTATCCAGTCAGTCACTAGTTCGATGAGGAAACGTTGTCATAAACTTGCAGGTTTCTGAAATGATCGATAAACTTAAAAATCTAATGGTTTATTTGCTCTCAGCTCACAACGTTACGAGGATCACAATTTTACGAAGGAAGGCAGACGTTTGCAATCATGTTTTCTTGCAGGAAATGAATAGAGTACAGACAATTTATCTTCAATACTTATAGCGACTTGATCTGCATAATCCCTAAGCCCAAAGACCGAAAAAGAAAAGTCTTGTGATGAAAATTCCATCATTTCACTTTCATCTTGTTTTAGCAGCTGAAAAGCACAATGAAGTCCAAATTGAACCATTTTCAAGCAAGGAAACAGAACGCAAACTTCTTCCAGAGAAGAAAAAAGATGAAGCTGATGCTTGCCGAAGGGTGCCGATGTATGTGAGCTTTTCGAATCTTCAGAATAGTACCCTATTTGATCTAGTCATTGCACCTTCGGGGTTCAATGCTTTTAAGTGTGTGGGGAAGTGCATCAGTGGGGAAGCTAACAATTATTCACTGATGATGGCAATCCTGAACTCAAAGAACAAGAGTTACCCAACTGATGGTAGCAGGTCCTGTTGTGTCCCAATAAAGTGGCGATCAGTCTCTTTATTGGTGTTTCAGCAGGAGAAGGTTTTATTGAGGAAATTTGATAATATGATTGTTCAGGAATGCGGGTGTATTTGAAACTTTTTGGTCCTTACGATTAACTGTTAAGATTTTTGTGTAGTGTCGGGCAAAATTTAAACAGAGGACACCTTTACGCTTGTTAAGGCCACCTTCATGTAATTTACGTGAGTTTTCGTTTAGCGAAGGTACTGTTACCAATGTAAACAATGCTGATCTGATCAACAATTGTATTCTTTTAAAAACCTTATGGGATGTTAGCGTATTCTGAACATCCAGTACAATTCTTCATTGTAGTGATAGAGATTAAAGTAATAAAAGTTTGCCACTTCATCGAGATGTTTCAGTGTAAAAGCATTTCATGTGACTGAGTAGCTTCCCAATCCAAAGCAAATCCCGTAGAAGGACATCCGCCGGACAGTTATCAGATTCCTTAGGGATAAAATTCCCCAGTTGAGTAGCAGTATCAATAAGAGAGAGTACTTTCTCCTTAATCGTCTTTATTGGTCTTGAAAATTTTGTCACAAGCATTCCGAAGGTGATTTTATTGAAAAGCTTCAACAAACAAACGAAATGAGGAAAAAATCATTGCCGACAGAAAAATTTTGCTTTACAGCTGAGCTCCGATCAGTTAAGGTTCTCAGAAAACGAAAGCATTAAAAAAAGAGAGAGGAAAAGAAGTGCCTAATAGTTGTGTAGAATCCTCTCTTTGGCCGAGCGGTTTTCTTCAGGGATTTAAACCCCGTGGGTATAAGAATAACATATGGAGAGAAGGCCATCGCAAGACGGTAATATTTTCTCAGAATGGGTGTTTTGATGACATGCGAGTTTCTAGTGATAAGCAGTCATAAGCTTCCTTGGGGTAAAGCCAATGAGTAACGACGCAAAAAAGTTTAGGAGAAGAGAACGTAAAAATGTTCATCGACATCACTGTTGTTGGTGTTAGTTCAGACATTTTATTGTGTAAAAGTGTTAAAGCATTTTATTCCAAATTAAATACCAGTGAAATACCCCTTGCAAAGAAGGGCATTTTCTCTCGGACTAAGAGAGTTTATAGTATTCAAGAGTATGTGTGGCAAGACGATTAGGAAGCAATCTGGTGTGCTAGAATTCTACGTTGAAGACAACTCTATAAACACTAACACACACTTTCGATCCTTCAGTACTTGTTTCTTCTGAGGAAATGACGACGGTTTTAATAAACGCAGTTTGCTTGGCACAAAGTCTCGTAATCTATAATATAGTTACATGCGATGTGCTCAGTGAAACCGAAAGACTATCCAAGGAACAGAAGGCCATTTTTGTCCAGCAAAAGCTATTACTAGACGAGGATTGGCATGCTCTCAGTTCAGTTTCCAATCACTTAAAAACAAAAAAATTTCACATCAAAATTTAATTGATTCACAGTAATTAAGAAAGTATCTCTGCACTGAACAGCATACATCTTCTGACAAAAGCAATTTATCCATTCTTACCTCAAAGACGAGTTTCCCCATCATAAATTAAATTTTAAAAAAATTAGAGGTATGCGAAAGATGGACTCTAGCGAGATATGCTTTGCTCCTCAGCTTGTTGAAACCATTCTTGTTATTTTAAGTTTGCCTCAGCAACTTATTGTAATTTAATTTTGTAAAAAATGACCGAAAATCCTTCAGCTTTTTCTGGTTTTTGATCAGTGAAGGATACAAAACCAAAACAAATAATGCCTGCAGGGAAAAAATGGCGAGCGTTAAAGTCAGCTTTCTTTGAGTAATAGAGGTGATAATTGGTTATGAACTAGTTTGTATTGATATACCTACGGGACAAGAAGAGTTTATAACACTACGTGGTAATCAACATGGTTAAAAGAGTGGATATATCGAGTTTCCAAATTCAAATGATAGTGAAACTACTGATCAGAACCAAATTTGTGAAATAGCTGAGGAAGAGACAAATTGCTCAGAACAGGGCTGGTAGATCAAACTCTTTGTAATATTTCTACTGGGGGGTAATAACCCTTCTGTACATAAGGGGTGACATCTAATTCCTCCTAAGAGGCAATAATTTTCAAAGATGTGGAGAGCTGATAACCCTCGCTGGAGGGCTATAATCTCACAGAGACGGAGAGATGATAACATTCCAGTTTAATGGTTTAAGTAACGGAGATCCGTGTTTACCACACAATAAGAAGTTCGAAAAATAAAATAGATTTTCTCGATTGCAATGCGCCACAGTAACAATATGTCTCAACGTGAATCCTAAGTTTTGGCTCATTGGAATCAATTCTTAGTTACGACGACTGATCAAGACTTTATTTTCTAGGAAGAGAATCACTTAATTATCATAGTTGTTAAACTCACTGACTCGCTGCCGAATGTAAAATACATGCAGTACCCAATACAAAATACAAAACTTCAATCTATCATGAGCATTGTCAACACTGAGTTATCGAGGGAAAAAAAATAAAAAATATATATATATATATAATTTTATACGATAGAAACAAAATTTCGACTGAGAACTGAGTGTTTGGTAGAGAAGTTCGTGGTTCTGTTAGGGGGTCCATTCTAACTTTTATATTGTCAAACTTATTTTTGTTTTGCCCGAACTTGACCGTAAGACTGAGAGATTTATGGTAGAGAACGGTTTTGTAAAGTGGAAACATCTCGAAGGTACCTACTTAGTATGCGAACTCCGCTCTGCATGGCTTAACGTGATTCGCTAATTAAGTATAAAAGTAAAAGAGAGGATAAAGAAAGAGAAATAGAACCACGAGTGTTAGAAAAATCCTCTAGCAACAATGATGTTTAAAGTATTAGTCGGGATATTGTGTCTTGGATCTAGTTTGCCAATGACTTTCTGGTATTTCTACATGGAAAATATTTCAAGGAGTGAGTAAGAGTGTCTGTTGAAGACCGCAGGTGTCTCTAAACAGTCTGATCACCGAGGTGAGATTATTGCATTTCAAATGATAAACCCAAGCAATGCACTAAGTTGTTTCTTTTTTTGAGTGAGGTCGCTGATGCTGCGATCAGCAGCCTTTCATGTTATGAAAAAATTTTTTTATAAAATTTAGCAGACAAGGCTGACTTCTCTGGTTCGTCCTACGCTTTTGTACAGAGACTTAGATATTGATCAAAAAAAGCGTCCGTCACGTCATGTGAAGGCTACGGTCTTGTTTAAAAGTGTTTACCGTATTATGAAGGATCTCTGATCCTTCGAGGTATACGCAAACCCAACTTTTTTATCCCGGTTGTTCGATTCGCGCTTGATGTAATTCTCACCTATAAATTCTTCTGTTAAAACAAGACTTTGTACTTGTAATTAAGATTAAAACATTAGCCTGTCGTCTAATTAAGCAGCAGTAACATGAAAATCAATTTATTTCAAAATCATACGTACTTCAGGGCATAGGGTAAAATAAGAACTGGACCATTTTTTGGACCATTTGGTCGGGAGGGAGGCAGACCTTCAGTACTTAGGGAGGGGTAGGATGCAGTCTATCAGTACTCAGGGAGGGATGGTAAGCAGACTGTTGATACTGAAGAAGAGATGGAGGACGAACTATTAGTACGCAGGGAGGGGTGGGAGATTGATGTATTTGTAACTGCTACTGATAATGGAGTTTTCATTGAATCATACAACTTGTTTTGAGTGGTTTTTCGACTGACTATTTGTATGTCAAAGTTTTTGCGCTTTGCCGTAGCGTTTCTTTATTTTTTGTCATGCGAATGCGAAACTGGCCCCAAAAACTGGACTATCATTGTTATTGAAAATATAGCCAATTCCGGTTTTCGATGCTCCACTTGTAAGTCATGCGTGTGCCTGTTAAGTCGACTTGTGCTAGTGCTAAATGATACTTACGGGTTAGCATGAATCATCCATCAGTTGCCTCACGTTTCCCTTTGGGCAAACAATAGATCATTAAATTTATCCTCCCTCCTTTTGTCGATGATCTCCTCAGACGACAAAGATCACGGAATTTCCGGTCCTCAGCATAGTATTCACAAGCGTTATCGCAATTTTCACGTTAACGACTTTGCTATAAAAACATTGTCGGTCTTCTTTCTTTTCAGATACACAGTTTTCCCCTATTAGATACACTAAACTCACGCCTAAAGTTGAATGTCATGTCACGCATTTCACTTCGTAAATTGACGGTTAAAACAGCACAGCTTCAGCGCTGGATCATTTTTTAAATAATAGGTTTGCATTTTATTGCTTAACATTTGGCGCAATTTTCCTTTCACATAGCCGATGCATTGATTCATTAAATCCAAACTAGTGCAAAATACAGAATTACCTTCCTCGAAAATTTCGGATTTCTAAGTCACCAATTACGAGTTTCCTTTTCGCAAATTACCGATTTGAGTTAATCTCCCAAATGACATTTTTTCTTTCCGGTTTCATTTCGTAGATTACAGTAAGCCCTCTCCAAGACAATAACAAAGCGACTTCTATGTTTCGCAATGACTTGAGAGAACATGAAATCTCTTTCCAATTTCAGGGACAGTCAAAGTTAATTAGTGTCTAACTGCAGACCAGATCAAAGAATTATGCAGAAAAAGGAAAAAACCGAACTGTACGATTAAAGTTTAAGTGAGTAGGTGGGGAAGTGGCATTTTAAGCCGGAAAACTGTGTATCCGAAAAGAGAGAAGATTGCTTTGTACGAAACTACCAATAATTAATGTTTTTACAATAAAGGTGCAAAAGTTAAATTTGCGATAACGCTCATGAATACTATGCTGTTAAGTTAAAGGCTAAGGATCGGAAACTCCGGGTTCTCTGTCATCCTGATAAGATCGATGACAAGAGGAAGATTAAATTTCGTAGTAATATGCTGTACACACAAAGAGAAACGTGAGGCAACTGTTGGATGATTCGTGATAATCCGTGAGTATAATTTAACATTAGTGCAATTGGATTAAAAAAGACACACGCATCACTCAACAATGGAGAATTGAAAACGAGAGTCGAAACGGATTAATGGAACTTTATAGGTAAGTAACCTATCTTTTTTTTCTTGAGTTTCAATCAATTTTAAAGTTTCTACCATACACCAAAAATGTTTGTGAGGAAACAGGAAAAGATAACCTGATGAAAATACGAGTCTTTGGTCAACTTTCTCGAAAGAGGTGATGACTCTGTTTGGGGGTTATAATTCCCTTGTTTACTGAAACGTGAGATATCTCTTTAGGAGGCAAGATTTTTTTTTAGTTAAAAGGAGGTGATTACCCTCTTGAGGGGGTTATGAAATACCAGCGCAGAGAGTTGATAACTTCCATATGAGGTTCATTTGCTCTGTGTTTGGCAGTAATTAAGAGTCCGTGGGGTCAGCGAAAAGCAGCTACAAAAACAAGGCAAAGTACACAGAATGTTTTTTACTCTGTTGTTGTGACGATCAGGTCATGAACTTTAATTGATGGACAAAAAGTCACAAACAATTTCTGAGCAGAAAATGGTGTAAACGCTTCCCCATTTTCATTTGATTGTTGTGAATGAACGATTAATGAGAAAGATATCCTGTATACGTAAAAGCCTAACTAATTGAACTATGTATATCATTCACCAGGAGAGGAGCACATGATTGTTGTGACCTTTCGCTATCCTTTCAAGTAGACAGCGGACGGCATTTTTGCAATTTTATTATAGGCGCAAGTCAGCTTTAACCACCTGGAAGTTACGTCAAGTAAAAGAAGTATGTTCTGCAGATGTAAGCGATCCTCGCCGCTATGAACACAACTGAACGAGTAATTGAAAATAAGACCTGAAAAAAATTCATGACCCGTACGGGATTTGAACCCGTGACCTCTTCGATACCGGTGCAGTATGTTCTGAATCATCGCACTTCATGGGTACATTAGAATTGGTCTTTTAGGGCCAAGCTATATAAATGAATATGAAAGTGATCTTCGCAATAGTGAACACTACTTAATCAGTACTGAAAGTAAGGCCTAAAGTGACGGATAAATTACTGTGAATGTATGAAAATCATAAATGTGAACTGCGGGTTAAGAGATTATGAGAGCGTTCTTGGCAGTAATGGACACTACTTAAGTAGTACTGAAAATAAGGCCTAAGGTGATGAATAATTGACTGTAAAAATATATGTGAACTGCGGGTTAAGAAGTGAATATGAAAGCGATATTCGAAGTAATGAACAGTACTCAAGCATTAGTCGGAAAATAAGGCCTGAATAAAATCATGACCATCCAGCGACCATGAAGGGAAAGGAGTGGAGTGCAACATGATAGTTACTCTTTTAATTAACTTTTTGCCCTCTTACAAAGTAAATACTTAGCGCGACTCAAACAATGTTTGACAAGATGTTAATTTGCACGTTATTCCTTTTCTAACCGGCATTTTAAAGACCTCTTAGCGGTGTGGGTTACAAAAGAAACATCTAGTAAGGAAATAATTTTCTTTGTTTGAATTAATAACAAGATAAGCGTTTTTAACATTTTCATACATTATCATTAAAAATACCAAGCTTCAGCTCGTCAGGCTTAGTTTTTTCAGTTTTGTAGGTACTTCGAAGCGTCTAGCTCCCATTTGATTGGGAAGAGTGACAGTGACATGACAGTTGGTCTGTTTATTATGTTGACGCCCTCATTAAAAGATTAGCTATTTATGACGCAAAAGAATACTTAGAGCGACTAACAGAGCTCTACCAACGTGGTGTTATCGATGCAATTTGGCATCTTTTGAGGGTTTTCTGTTCTCAATCTTTTCTCAAGACCTCCTCTGAGCAGTTTAGATCACAATGCAAAACTTCCAATATAGAACAAGTTTTCGAAGTTTTAAGTAGTAATAGGGTTATAACCAGATGTGCAACATAAGCTATGACGGTTTTTGTTACAATCTTCGCTCATGTTCTAGAATATGAGGGTATTTAAGGTGCCCACAAACTTTCGTCGGCTAGTTTTCAGAGGGTATTCAAAGATAGAGACTGTGAGTAGATAATTTGCATCACTCTTCAATATGTTTCAGCCATTCTTCTTTCTTGTGATGTTGGTTCTCTATATTCTGAGTTCGTTTGCGCCTGTAAACGGAATTCCAGTTCAAAAGCATCCAGCGAAAAGCTCGCTCACTGAAGAGTGCGTAAGCTTATCAGGACCTGAAGGCCCAAACGGAGCGTCCTCTCTGTTTCAAGACGCGGGTAGGAAAGTATAAAACTAACCTTAACCTTAACCTTAACCTTAACCCTAACCCAAGGCGAGAAACATCAGCATAATTTTTTTTTCTGAGATACTGGTTTTCAAAACGCTTTTCTTAGTGTGCCTTCGAATCAAAAAAGATCTGTTGGATGAAGATTACATGAGAGTATGATTACATCTTTTTCAAAGATATTTCCATTGGAATATGCACAACGTTATTTCAAGTCTGCTTATCCTGACTTGATCAAATTTTGCTCTTACTGAACAAAAAGAGACTTAGAAACGGCTTTCAAACTCCATTTTCTGCTTCTTCATCTCTTCTAGCTCCCAAGGCCCACAATGAATTCCACAAAATGGAATCCCAAAGTAAGATAGATGTATCACCACGAGGACTTCATCCTAATAACGTGGAAGATATAGCTGATGAACATGCTTGCCGAAAAGTGGATAGGATGGTCAACGCTGCAAACAATAGCATCTTGTATCCTCTCCGCTTCAATGCTTATCAGTGCGTGGGGAAATGCAACATAAAACAACTTCAGAATGTCAACAACTATGCACGGGTGACCCTGAACATGAAGAATAAAGTAAATTCGACGGATGGCATGGCTGCCTGTTGTGTGCCGGTCAAATTGCGGCCAATCCGTATATTGTATTTCGAAAAGGATACCGTAGTAATGCGTTCCCTTGATAATATGATTGTCGAAGAATGCGGGTGTTACCAAATATTCCATTAGGGCAGACACGACAACATTTTTAGCTTGTTGAAGGCAGACCTTAAATAATGAACAGCGTTAATCTAGATGAAAGCATTATTGTGCCGTTAAGTTAAGTAGTTTAAATCTGACAAAGGAACGATATTAATCGCTATTGAAATTTCTCATTCATCGTGATGTTGTGAAATCCAAAGAAGTCCACCTATGCTTTTTTATTTTTAGTTAGGCGCTACATCCTTTGAGTAGATGACTTTTTTTCTAACATAAAAATGACAGAGGAAAGGCTGAGTTCTTTCCAAGGTTCATTAAATGAACTTTCTGATCATTGATTCATGTATGCCTTTATTTTTAAACGCTTAACGAGAGTAAGGTTATAACCGACATTAAGCCTCTATCCTGCAAAATGTTGCCTCACGGAAAAGTCCTCGGAGATTTATGAATGTTTGTGTGCCATAGTTTACAACATTTGCCATGTTTACTTACTGTTCTTTCTATTGTGACTTGTTTTTTTAAGCATTGATTTCGCATTTTATGCGGAGCCTGTATAAGTGATTTAAATACTTACTGGAGTATACATAAATCTCTCCTGAATTAAAATATTTTGATCTACGATGCACAAGAAAGGGTCAAGAAACAGAAAATGAAGAAATTTAAACGAAAATGAAGGAAATACCGGAGCCGAAATGGATGCTTCGGGACTTGATGGATTTTTGATCAGTGAGGGACTGTTCGACGGATTTTTGGTTGTATCACGCTAAACTTAACCTGATTTCCTCCCCCCTCTCTCAATAGGAGACAATCGGCAATAAATTTTCTATGGTGCCCCCGTTCCCTCCATTCCCCCCACCCCCCAACCCCCGAAAATCTTGTGATCCTCCCCCACTTAATTGAATTTTAAAAAAAGTTATGATTGTATTGCTTTAGGGTTAGCGTTAGGGTTAGCGTTAGGGTTAGGATTAGGGTCTATGCATTCATGTTGAACATCGAACTTTTGTTTTTCTTTTGTTTTATTTATTCATCAATTTTTCTACCTTTTCTTTTGTTGTTTTTTCCCTTATGGTCTAAGTCTTTTTTATTTGCGTCGGCGCTTGCTGGAAATAGCAGTAAGTTTGACAAAAGTATCTCCATCTTCTATGACACGTTGTACTTCTCAATCCTTCCTTTCTCATACCCCTCTCCCAAGATTTTTTCACCCTTTAACTCCCAGTAGTGATAAACATGAAATTTCTCCCAATAATATCAATACATTATTCGGCAAACAGGTAATGAGTATATTCAAAGTTGTCGGGTTGAAGCTGCTATCTTGATCCAGCATCTAGTTCTCATAACTAATTTACAAGGAGATGTGTAGTAGCTAAAGGGGAGAATTAACAGTCAGCCGGATATTGGGAATTATAAAGGGTTAAGTGCTCCTCTTCAACCTAGGCAAAAAATCCCGAATGGCACCATTCTATCTGTGTTCGGTTTGGTTCTTCAACTTCATAATATACCCTCACTATTTGAAACGGCTGGCATTGGAAATGCCAGCTTCAAAACGAGAATTAGCGAATACGCTTCAGTGAAATCCTGCAAAAATGTACAGGTACGTAAACGAAAGTGTTCGAAATCTTTTAAAGACCCGCTCAAACTCATAATTTCTAGAGTCTCTCATCACTCTTAATTCAATCTAAGCTCATATTTGTCGCAGCCTCACTCACACAATAAATCTTAAAGAAGGAAGTCCAAAAAGTCACTGAGCTTAATTCGCTGATGATGTTCTGCTCTGCAGAACTGGTTATAATTGTGCTCCGTTGGGGCTTGGAATCCTAGTGGTAAAGACCGATGATTGAACAGAAGGAAGCCTCACGCAGTCTTTTTTATTGAGCCCTCGCCTCGGGGCATAGCTAAAATATTTTTTCTCTCCCTTGGTTTTTGTCTCAGCAGTGTGCGCCGTTGTCAAAAATGTTTTGGTGGTCGTGCCAAAACATTGATGAACGTCTTATTTCAAAAACGTTCAATTTTCGGAGGACAGTATTCATAAGTTTCAGTGAAAGCCTTGATGGTTGGTCTCAACTTCTGTTGTTATTCCTATTTTTTCTTGACGAAAGAAATTCTACAAAGTTCTTAGACTGACAATTAGAGCTAATGAGTTTCATATATTGTCGTCATTTCATTTTTTTTGACACCAGCTTATGTCCCGAGTGATTTACAGGCACTACAAGAATTCAGGAGAAAGAAGCAAGATTGGGAAACATTTCTCAAAAGTTTTTCATATAAGATCGGAGATTTCACCGGTGTTACACCTACTAACAACGATGGTGAAAGTGGTGATGGTGAAATCTCTCAGTGTTGAACAGCCGAGTAGTTTTCTTCGAAAAATATTTGCGCCGCACAGTTTCAGAGAGACCAGTTTAGCGCGAGAGCAATCAAGTATTTTCTTGCTATTGTCTTTTCATAATAGCTTATTATTGGAGGCTTTGTTTGTGGAATATGTATGCATTTTTGGAGTTCCGTTAAAAAGTCATTAATCTTAAAGCTTTGTCTCTAAAGGGCAGAGGGCTGTTTTTGTTAAGTATTTGTAGGAAAAAAACTTGCAGCAACTGCTTTCAGCAGACACTTGGTTTGTTTAAAGAATTGTTTAGTTACAGCTGAGAGATATGGCCTCGAAGAACAGGTAAAGTATGTTTAATTATACCGCTTGAGTGTGAGAGCAATCTTACTTTGATGATGACATGTGGAACTGATATGTGCGATCCACAATCGCTTCGTTTGGTCATGATAATAGTCTTGTAAAGGTATATCACTTCACAAATTTCCCGGAGCTGCAAAACTATTTTGAATGGGACACTCTCATTCATAGAGACTGCTTGTAGAAGCCTTGAATAAATTTTGAAATCGAAATTGGCAAACTGTTAAGCAAATATGCATTACGTAATTACTTTAAACTAGCAGGATCTGTGATCATTTCTGGTTTCGAATAATCATAAAATAAGAACGTTGGGTTTAGAACTGATGTTAGACCTCTATTTCAGCCATTTCTGTTTGATTAGATAAAACTGTGTGTACCTTTCGATGTTTGTTGTTAATCATTCAATTAAACAAAACGCTTGGCAAACAGGCTTGTCAACCAACTGATTAGACACCAAAGCATGAGTGTTTAGTCACGGACTAGTAACAGAGGCTGTCGTTTAAACATCGAGAAATAAACTGGCACGTTGGTAAGCCTTACTGAGTCTAGATGAAAGTACAAAGGTTCATCGAAAAAACCCGGCTCCCCTTGAATTTCACACTTACTCTACACTCTATTACGTTCGGTTGCGTACTTCAAAAGGTTGACTAAAGGAAATCTGACGTTTACCAGAGGTTTGTAATATGTTTAAGCAAAGCCTTTCAGCTGTTTGCACAATAGTCTGGACCGCTGGCTAATTGCTTCGGCTCTGAGCAGAGATTGCACGCTTATCTTTTTTTACTTCGATACCCTATCGAGGAAGCAAAATCACATCAATTTATCTTCTTCTTTGGCAGCAAAAGGGGCTGAAAAACTATTTACTGGTTGTTAGCGACGCCCTCCCAAGTACATGATGAAGCTCATGCTTTTCTTGAAAGTTCTCATGGAGCTGGAGGAATCTAGACTCGCGTCAAACGCAAAAGCTTACTTTTTTTTTGCCTCGAGAAACGTAATATTGAGCTTGATATACGCATCGACAACTTGGAATAATATAACCAGCAAACCATAAAATTAACATTGTGCTTAACATTTCAACCATAGTTGACCTCATGCACCGCTTAGCTCTTGGATTAGCTTTCCTTTCGCTGGACTTTCGTTGAACTTTTTATAAAATTTGTTCTGACTCTGAGGAAACAAATCTTTTCTTTTCATTATCCGATGAGTTTTGGCTAACCTTCATGAATTAATGCAATTTAAAATCATTTACGTTATCTCTCATATCCAGAAAGACAAGAGATATTCCTGCAATAGAGGGCTCCCTTCTTGAAAAGCACATTAACTCTCCCTCTTCCTAAAGAATTGTGGGATCCTGGGCCCACATTGGTTTAATTGAAATATCTCGAGAAAAAAAGGTGTTGTTTACCTGTAAAGCGGAAGGCTCATTCAATCGCCATTAATTTGATTTTATACAAAACTAGATCAGATCTTTTCTTTTTAGTTTTATCATACGACACCTTCTTTTTTTTGGGAGTGGGGAGGCACATTTATAACTGAAAAAAAATTTTCCTGATCACTTTTTACCGCCTTCAAAGACCTTACCATCTAATTCTATTTTTCTCTAATTTTTCGTTATTGTTGACGGGAATTTCTGAATGCATGACGTCATAAGGCAAATTACTTGAATTCACCTGTTACCAAGTTTGTTCAGATCAAAACGCTTCCTTTTACGGAATTGCGCAACAAGCACTTATTTTAAATGAACGCAGATTTTATTTTGTTGTTTTCCTTTTTTTTTTCGTTTTACACCTTGCTTCAAATGACCGTGGATTTTTTTGTCTTTCCTTTTTGTAATTTTTACGACTTTAAAAGAAATAATGATTCATACAGAACATATTGTGGCAAAGTTACAATTAAAATTGGCTGCTTTTGATGCATATGGTTATCAAAGATTATTACATCGAGAGAAAACATTTACAACTGCATTACGTAAAATTGGCTACACGCTCAAGCTTGATTTACTTCTGATTATAAAATCCTAGCTACACTTATAATGAAGACAGGAAATGGGACCCGCGAAATTGACTAAAACTGGACACAAACATAGTATAAAATACATATAAGTGAAAGGAAAGTTATTATAATGTGGGCACCTTGGTGGAATGTTCCTTTTACTACAATCTTATTTTAAACTACTAAGTTTTTCCTTTATTTTGTAGTCTATTTATGATTAATCTTTCGTCGGACCAAATTCTAACTGAGTTGATCTCTCCATATCTAGCCGTGATAACAAGCAGGTTTACGAGGATCTGAAAGAACAGTTATCCAAGCTGAGCCGTTCGTTGAAGGTCTTAGAAACTAGGGCACTAAAACATAACTTCTCGACGAGCGAACTTACTTCAAAAGTAAGTCAAAGCATTTTCAAGATACGTGTGATATAATTTGGCTTTATCAGCTGAGTTTTGTTTTGCTCTGTCTAAGGGTTAGGGCTTGAAACATCAGCTTTCAATAATCTTGTCGTACCACCCACTGAAACAGCAGCACAGTTTCTTGAGAAACTTGACCCCTTTATTCAATGTATTTACACTCTTGAAATACGTATTAATTAGTCCTCCTTTTATGACATCTTTATTTGATTTATTCTTATCTGTATCCGTTTTTTACGGCGTATATGCCCTTAGGTTTTATACTTTCAGTATAAATATACGACCAAACATGAAGACAAGTGATTGAATGCACTGATTAAAGCTTACCTTAAATGTTATAGGGCCGCAAAACTTCTTCAGTCAAGTTACTGAAAACTGCTAAAGAGAGCGATGTCCGTCCTCTGAATAAAAATGTCCTTGATGGGCTGGCAAAACTTGTAAGGTAATATTTTATTTCACGATGAAGTACGTGTTAAACCATCACGATTATGAAAGTAAATAAAGTGTTTACAGAGATTTTGTTGAAACTTACAATGATTAAGCATTGACTCTGTTTGGAGGAAGCATCAAAATGGCAAATAGCAAATAACGATGCTGATTAATAATACAGTGTCGTAATATTTACTTATGGGCATGTCTCTCTGTTACAGTGCTCTGGATACACTCACTGAAATCCGGAAGCAGAGAAAGTCTAAAGAGTCTAAGATTCATGGCGCGGCGGTTGGAAGAAGAAGGAAATCCAAAAGATCCATAAACTTTGAAACAATAGAGAATGACATTACAAATTACAAGGTATCAGTTATCAACTGTTATTAGCAATCTTCATTATCCAGATTTCTACTGCGTAGAGGTCTGGATTGCAAAGGTGAAACGAAAAAAATTTTTATTTGAAATTTGAATAAAGGGTGGATAAAAAGTGAAGAAAGGTGCGTGGATAGGATCCTTTGGAAAGCTTGTTTATCATAATTATTTTGAGTTAGACTGGAATTCTCGTAGTCCTTATGGTTCTTGAATGGTGATTTTCTCGTAAAAACATTACAGTAGATCTGTGAATAGAGCAAGTCCATCAATTTTTATCATAGAAGAATATTGTTTGTGGTTATTCAAGTTCTATCAAGTGATATTTTTCTTTTTATAGATTTTAATCAGCGATATATCTGCTGAAGCAGAAACAGTTGATCAGGTGACCAAATCTGGAAAAATAAGCCTGGAGGAAGGTAAAATAACCAAAAGCAAAGAGGAAAAGATGAGACAGGAAATTGCAGCAATAAGCAGTCGGTGGAATGTACTTTGCAAAGACGCCGTCGACAAGTGCAACAGGTAAAAAGACCCTGGCCGCTAATCACACAGTCATGCCAATTTACTGTTGATAGTTAATATATCTGATGTTGGAATAATCATGTCTTTAAATAACCTTCATTCGGCACATCACGCATAATGTATAATGTTTTAGCTCATCAAAGAGCCATCACAATCAACTCTAATCTGAATTTTCTTCAAGGTATACCGGAGATCTTTATCGAATCCAGATATTTTTTTCACTCGACCTCTCACCTCTTTGAGTTTATGAAAGTATCCTAAATGGGGTCAAACACCACCTTTTCTATTAATTATTTCAGCATCGAAGCGTTCGTTTTGGAAATGCAAACTGAATATTCCAAGTTAGATTTGTGGATGAACAATGCTGAAATAGCGGATTCATCGCTAATGGAATATGACCCATATGCAGATCACCCGGAAAAGTTGGGAACCACGATTACAGCTGTGAGATTACAGCTTCATGAAAACCAGGTTCGCATCAGTGTATATATAGACATGAGTGTACACTCGTCACGTTTCAACTTCTATGGATGATACCACAACACTTTGTTTGGGTTTGTTCTGCCATTTTGTCGTTGTCTTTGCTCCTCTTTTACCCTTTAAATAAGTATCCAGCACATGCCTAAGTTAGGATTGTTAGGGCCAGAGCCTTTCTAAGACATCCTAAATTAGCTATTTGCACCGGCGGCTTGAAGGTGAGATTTTGACAACATTTGAGTTAAAGGTTAAAAGCCAGTTAGCAGACGGATGAGAAAGAAAAAGAGGAATAAACAGAAACAACAACAACTACAAGTGTACAGATTTAGAATAATCGATGGTTGATGAAAGTGATTTTCTTGGAAATCATGTAATGCCTCTTCCTGCTTTCGAATCTTGAAAATGATAATAATAATAATAATAATGATAATGATAATAAAATAATAATAATAAGTAATAATGATGATAATAAGTAATAATAATGATAATAAATAATAATAATGATAATAAATAATAATGATGGTAATAAATAATAATGATGATAATAAATAATAATAATGATAATAAATAATAATAATGATAATAAATAATAACAATGATAATAAATAATAATAATGATAATAAATAATAATAATGATAATTATAAAACGGGTTTTACTATACAAATGTTGGGAACAATTAATTGTCTGCAATGGCCCAAATCTGAACTTAATAAGTGCCTTTTTTTTTTCTATCCAAAGAAAGTCCTAGAGAACTTTAGGAAGTCCAAGCCTAGACTGCATAACATGAACGACATAGCCGCTACACTTATGAAGAGTGGACGACTCGACGAGGAAGATACTGACGAATTGGAACGTGTTATCAATGTTATCGTTGCAAAATGGGAATCGATCGATAATCGGCTGAATGCAAGTCGAGACAGGTGATATATGGAAGGAATTAGTTTGAGGATTTGATATAAATGAGTTGTAGCCGTAAACATAACTGCATTTAAAAGATCATTAACATCCAAAATTATACTGTGAGACATCTTTAAGAAACTAAGCGAAAGGCAAAATCTGTCATTCCTTCTCTTTATAGGATTTATGCTGAGATCAACAAGTTAAGACAAAGGCTCGTAAAGCAGAGGCAGTCGATTATTCGAAGGTTTAGCTCACGGAGAAATTCATCGTTTCGAAGGAAAAGATCCATGCGGAAAAAACGCGAGGCGCAGCAGAAAAAAGAAGTCGAGACAAAGGTATTCCTGCAAATTTGTAAAGCCATTCCTCTAAAAAACGGTCACTCGCTATTCACGAAGGAATGTGAAGGGAAGAAAAGGCGTGAAATAAGCATTTCTCTGAAAGAGGAAACTATTTTCAATCATTCTCTTTTGTCGAAGAAAAACTTCGAGGTCAACTTTGGTAGATGTGTATCAAAAACTTGCCTAAGTGAAATTTTAACCAATTTTTGTTACTATCTTGCAGGATCAGGATGCTAATGAAAGAAAAATTGATATCTCTATGAAGGAAACTGTTACCAAACGAACATCACTGGATTTGACTGTTTCATCAGACCAGGTAAGCATTGTTAGATTGTTGGTTTTATCTAAGAACTGAAGAGAAAAACGCTCCAAAACGGAAGCCATCTTTTCACCACACTCCCATTAGTAACTGGAATTTAACTTCTCGTAGCATTGTCAGTACATTATTTAACGTTTAAATGAAAAAATGTAGGTCTGTAAGGAAGAATCACAGATATATAAGATAATGGAGGTATAAGGGCCAAGCAAACTTTTAAATTGGCTATAGATCTGCATCAGTGTCAGTGTACAGGGTAACAGATTTTTCGGAGTAATATTCTTCGCAATGATCTCTTCGCCAAGTAAAACTAAGGAAATAAGTCAATAATAACTTCTACCTCGACTAGAAGACCAAAAATAAGCAATTTCTAAAGTGTAATTCATACAGAACTCTCCCAATCAATTCTGTCATCATTTTATTTATGCATCAGAATTCAAAAGTTGATGAAAGGATCCGTGTTTTATCCAAGAAAGAGATTGTTACCAGTTCAGCCGCCGTGGATTTGAATGCTTCCCTGGACCCTGTGCACGTTGTTGTGAAAATAGACAACGATTCTGACGAGGAAAGTCTCAGGTAAAGTTCTGCAGTTATTTGAGAGCCATTGAAAGAGTAAATTAATCTTGATCGATGATGGTTGGACCTTTTGGCAAGATATCATGAAGCATTTTCCTAATGCACTCGCTTTGATTGTTAACGTCGTCTCTCTAGTATTCTCCGTTTAATATTCATTTCTTTTCATTTTTGTGGGGCAACAAAACGATGGAGGAAAAAGAAAACTGTGTTCCCTTGAGTCTCCTAAAGGGAGTGACATCTTGCGGGCACTGGCATGAGACCATTTTGAAAAAAAAAAATTCCTCAGTAGATTTGTCTTGGAGAAACAAGAGTAAATAGAAAGAGAACAAGGACAGGAGGGGAAGGAGGGGTCAACATAAAGTGCAATTGAAAAACTTATAGCCTCGGAGAAAAGTTAAGGATACGTAAGCCGTTCGGATTTATTTTAAGTTCACAATCACTGTGGCACATAAAAGAGTTCTACCTGATCTTTGATAGCCTTCGCTTAATCTTCCAAGCTTTATTAGCCTTACTTTCAACCTACTATGTAACTCATGTCATCATATTTACCATGCATGTATCGGCTATTGCAAGAAGAATACCGTTTGATTTCACCACTAGGTTGGAGAAACAGTCCAATGCTTTTAAATCCTTTGACTCATCCCTTAAGTATTGCGAAAGGAATGAGCAAAGTCTTGAGGAGGAGTCGCTTCAGAAATTTTCAGTTCCAGAGACTAGAAGGAAGGAGTTGGAAAAACAGTTGAACGATATTACGGTAAGTGGAGAGAATGCAGGCATCTACAGTGCATATCTCAAGCGTCTACATTGATGCTTAAGCACGTGGAATGTTTCGTCAGACTTGTTCTTGACACTATTTTTGACTCTCTTATATTGTTGTGACATTAGAAAAATCAACTTTCGTTCTTAAGAATTGTTTTTGAAGATCTCTGTATACTTCAAGGCGGTTCGCCTCTTTTTTCAACTTTATCTCGGTATGGAGGACAGTACCCTCCCTTCTCACGATATACGTTTTCTGCCATACTCGTAACACTGAAACTCGCCAACATTATTATCCAACCCCGGACGGAAATACTGTGGATCTATAAAAACTTTTATTCGGAGGGTCTACTTTGCCTTTAGACAGCTTAGGAGTGGCCAGAGCAATTTTGGTTCCTTTTTGCAAAACACTTACTACGAATTCAAATGTTCACAGGAAAGAGAATTGGCGTAAATCCAGCATACTTTTCAGGCGTTTATTTCGTTTCTTCTTGCCGAAACGTTTTCAAAATTAAAAGATTATTTGCTTTTTTCAGAGATTTGAGAGGGATGTCGAGAAATCAAGATCTGAGTTTCATTCACAAGTAGATAAGTTTGAAAAGGCTAAAGAGGAAGACTTCTTCAATGATACTGACACTGAAATCCTGGGCAAGAGAGTGGAGGATCTGAAGAACCGCTGGGATCAATTGTGGGGGGAACACATCAATAATAAGAATCGGTAAGAGATTCACTATTTTTGTAAGATATTAAAAGCATTGAGTTGTGAATTAGGATAATAAATTAAAACAAAACGGTTAACCCTCTCGAATTTTTTCAACTCCGTCCTTTCTACCTTCTCTCCCTGAAATAATGTCTCACTTCCCTCGCTTGTTGCCATAGAGGTTTGGTAGAAGAGTGAATGGATGCCTGTAGAGCTGTATTCGTGATTTTGAAATTGTGGATGAGTCATAATAGGTGTTTATTTTTGGAGCGCGATCCATGTGGAGAATTTGAGAGGTTACGACATCACTTCCTTTATACTCATTATTTGCATGAGGTAAAGGTAGCTTCCTTTAGCATGCTTTCTATTTTTAAACGCTGCGTAATCCTATGTGTATGTTGATGAAAATTGATTACAAACTTGTAATCACAGAGTTCGAGGTCTGCACCGAAAGTTTTTCCTCGTCCATCTAAGCCCTAAGCAACCAACTTTAGCATGCGTTGTAACTGAGAAATATGATTTTAAATTGTTTTATTTTGTCATCACTGCATGTAGCATTATTAAAGCCACTCTGGACCTTAACGACAAGTCCTTACTGAAGATGAGCAAGGAGTTTAACGATATCGAGAGGCAGATAAATAGACCTGAAATGTACGAAGATGAGCGGCTTTCGCTTGAAGAAAACATCCTCAAACAGAAGGTTGGAGCTACATAATGAGTCGACTATCAATTATGAGTCTGCTATCATCGTTCAGTTTGATACAAGATTTTACCAAAATTAGTCATTAGTTATTGTGTGGCACTAATAAGGCAAAAGTTGGCGGTAATCCTTACATATGCGCTTTGTGTCCACATTACTTGTGCTGCAAGTTATTTTACCACAAAAAGGGGTAAAAACTTGGGTTTCTAATATGTGTTTGCCTGGCCGCAATGCAAGTCTCATGTTAGGTTATAGTTCGTACAGCACTGTACCGTGATCCAGAAATTCACTCAAAGGATACGAATCCTTTTAAGGCCTTTATCCTTGATTATTGATTACTTTAAAGAAGTTACATTTATATTACGTTTGTTTTTTAAAATCATTAACTTGTCTAGAAGCTAGAGGAGTATATTTTCTATTCAACCAAAATGGAATAGAGAACTTTCATGGATATAGAAAATCAACATCTTAAGTACTAGAAGTAATTCAGATGTAGCACCTCCTTGAAATCTTATTATTAAATCATGGATGTGACACCAAATCCTTCGTAATGAATTATGGGAAACGCAACGTGACTAGAAAGAGAAAAGATGATTCGTGTTATGGCAGTGAAAGGTTTCACAAGAAAGTATACCACTACCTGAGATTTTCCTGGAGTTTTTGAAGAATCCCAAACCGGGGTACATTTCTGTCTCGTAAGGAATCCTTTACCTGGAGTTTCTCATATTCTGCGATCGTTAATTCACGTCTGTTATCGCTTCATAGAGAGAATTCTTGTGACTATCATTAAGATCCTACCATTTATCGGTGATCTAAAAGATATCTGTTTTCCAACTTCAATCTCTCTTTGTTATTCTATTCACTCAGCGGCTGATAGATGACATAGGATCATATGACAGTGAAATCATCGAGGTGAATGTTTCAGCGCGTGGCTTACTGGAGAGAGGTTCTATCGAGAAAGGAAAATTTGAAGAAGTTCACAAGGAAACAGATTCTCTTAGAGAAAAACAGAAACAACTAAAGAAAATGTGCAGAGAGAATGGAGATAGGTAAAGCGTGATGTTATTGAAAATTATGAATGTCAACTTAGGAGGAGCTGACCAATAAATAATTGAAATGTATAATAATCATCCTTTTTTGTTTATAAGAGAACTCTCTTTCGCAAGGACTTCTACAACTACGTATTTATATATTTACATATTAATACTGTTAGATTGTTCGTAGTTACTACCGGTGTTCGTGCCTATCTCTTTTTCTCTTCCCGTTACACTAACAGCATTTTTGTGAGATATTCTGCTCCCTGCAGGCGAATGTAATTTGTTCCTTGCAGGTTACTTTTATCAGAAAGAGTCTCATAATACTAGATTTTTTCTTCTCTAGACTGGCAACGGATCTTCTTGATTTTAATCAGCGGAACAATAAATCTCCTGTAGCAGTGGAAGAAGAAACAATTCAGATCAGCGATGATTACAGCATGCTTGCTGCATCTCTTGATGACTTACTCGCAGATGATATTTCAGACGAGGGATTCGCGGAACTGGACTCCCCTAGGGTAACGAGTTAATCAAATCGTAAATTATCCCTTGAGATCTATCCTTTTAAAAAAGTTCAAAACAGACTACTTTTCCTGTGATCCAGGGTTTAACTGTATTGTGTTCGTGTCTGTTTTCAACCTTGAACTTGTTGCCAAATGCCTTAATACTAACCTAGAGTGCTGGCTTAACTCACGGGAGGCGGTCAAGCAAGCATGTTTGTCTTAATTGATTCTCTGATAAAAACTAATATTTTCCTTTAGCTCGCGATTAAAATGCATTTTGATAGGCAGAGAGTTCCTTTTTATAGTTATTGGCGTTGTGCGCTACTGTATGGCTGAATTTGACGTAAATATTTTTGCCTTTTACAGTCAGTCCTAGAGACAAAGATGAGAGATTTTGATGGACAAGTTCAGTCCATGAACCAGTGGATAAATGACTCTGAGAAGTTGGTAAATTCACTTCATGTGGGAATGGATCCTGATGAAGTTTCAAAGAGGATCCAGGAAATTAAGGTGGGTTTAAAGAGAAATTTTCAACTTAGTGTCGAAAGTTATTTAGTATTTCATTCATCATTTTTGTTTTCTTGTCAAAAAGTGTCCCTTTTTTATGTGAAAAGAAAAGGGATATACATAATATATATTTCCAAATTTGCACAGGTTTTGAAAACAGGTGTGTATATATATATATATATATATATATATATATATATATACATAAAGATATATATATATATATATATATATATATATTCTCCTCGATTACTCAATGCATGCATACACAGGCATATATTTATGCCTTAAGTTCTCATCGGTTGCTTTTAATGCGTAATTCAATTAGAACCATGAGGAAAAATATTTGATATAAACATTACCATCGAACTGTGGAAAAGATTCAGAAAAGCTTTCTATTTAAGGGAAACGCAAAATTTAAATGGACATCTGCCTTCTCAAACACTATGCTGTAACACTCACTGCTTCCTCTGCCATTCTTCATTTTGGTCTTGGAAACACCGATCACAAACCAAACTGGTGATTGATTGAAAGGGAGAGTCAGAGGGGCAATAGAACGCCATAAAGGGTATTTTAAAGGATTATCGACTATTTATGTTCGGGATTGTAGCTTGTCAGTCTTTGACTTATCTTTGAATTTAGCTCCGATAAATTCATGTTTCTTTCTTTTTTGTATGTTTGCTTTTTTCTCAATTTTTTGTTGCTGTTGTTTTCCAGATACGATGTAGAGACATCGAAAAAAAGGAGGCTAAGGTGAAATACATAAATAAACTTGGCCAAGAGATAACTGCTGAGTCCCTTGACACGACTCTTACCGATGGTGTTGAGGAGAAGCTTGTAACACTGAACAAAAAATGGCGTGACACAAGGGAGATCTTAAGTGACTACCATGACAAGGATGAAGACGAACACTCAGAATTTGGAAGTTGCTGTTGTTTTCAAATGATAAAGAAAGCGTTTCAGGCGTGTTTCTATAGTTGAATGGGATTTGTCAGGAAACATATCTCTTAAATAGAGATGAATTATGCCTCTTGTTGTGTAATTATCACGTCGTCACCACAGCCTCACCCTACAATTGTAACCATACTTGCATCTATATACCTTAATGGACAGGATGTCAGTTTGAGTAAATAGAAGAGGACAGACTTAAAATTTTAAACCCAGTAGTTGATCAAGAAAGGTGTCGTTAGTCTTTCAGTTAAAGTTGGGGCAAGGAAAAGTTGAGTCCTCATGACGAATCGTAATCAAGACCTTGGGATTCCGCGCTCTCACTGAACAGAGAACGATACAGTGAGTAAGACCATTGCTATTTTCTTATTTGACGTACTTCCTGCGCAATTCAAGGATCAGCGGTGTCGAAAGCGCCATGTAAGTGAATAGAAAAACAACAAGTTTTGACTGAGTTCGATAGTGGTCTTTGGTATGTCGGTTTATTGGTGCTCTTTCATCTATGAATTACTCGCTTTCTTTTAAAATTTTTATATCCCACAGTCACATATTTCCTTGCCTTGTCAATAATTATTGTAGAGTCGCTGTAATGTGAAAGCGGAGGATAAGGAGGGCACACAGCAACGAAAGAAAGCAACTCGACTTTTTCTAGGCCTCTCTCAAGGCATCGTCAATGGATTTTTACCTTGAAATAAAGTTTCGAACTATGTTTTCCAGCTACACAATAACGTCCGAGATACCAACGGGAAAGACCCATCTCTCCGTTGTACTAAATGAGCATCATTGAGTAACCTCTTTTACTTCGTTATAAAACCGCTAGGAAGTAAGCTCTGTCTACTATACAGGGCTCTTTAAGGGCTGGCGTGCAAGAACCGCAGGCTCTGTAATGCATATTGATTGACTGACCCCATATATTTCAACGCAAAGTTTATTACTAAGTAACTACCCTAATCTTTGCCACCCATAGCGACGCGCTTGTTATCCCAGTCATTGATCTGCAGTGTCTTAAACATAAAGTGAGTGACATCAGCCCGTGAAACTATCCAGCCTGACCTTGTTACAGACATTCCTTCGGCTACCACGTAATCAGTTCCGGTAAAAGGACCTAAAGAACAAAAATTAAATTTGTCTTTAATCTAAGAGTTTTGATTAGAGTGTAATCTTTGCTAAAATGGACATTTTGACCATAACTAACTTTCCTCAGTGAAAGAAGTAGATGATAAACACTTTTGTCGTTAAAGAGTTTATTAAGGATTTCATGCCGTTAGGACAGTAGTTTGGCCATCCTAGAGACAACCATTGAGAGATGGCCGTTCGCTCAAAGGTTGAATGCATTCATTAATTCGCCTAAAATAAACTTTTCAGGCTTGACCATATAGTTATTTCGTTTGGTTCGTATAGTTATTTCGTTCTACATATATTGGACATACTGTAGTCTAAAGCACTGTAGATGTTGTGGTGATATCCTTGAGACTATGGTGATTGTTTGTAGTGGTTGAGAGCATAATCTCAGGAATGTTTTTGAAATATTTGTTGAGCATGGCCTGAATGTACCTTTGGTCAAGTTTGGAGGTCGCACAATAGTGTAACAGATATTAGACTTCACAATATTTTCCATCAGTATCATGTCGTTGATGCAGGCCCGAAGAAGTGGCCGTACAATCCAATCCATCCACCTAGGATTTGATGGATCCTTCTGAACGTAGATACTAGTCACACAAACCAGTCTACCAACACCTGTCCTTTTGCAATCAAAATAAATCAAAGCAATAAAAAAATATATTACAAGTGACGGGTTGATCTTCACATGTTTACTGCAATTAGGGTAATAGCGGGAAAAAAAAAGATTAGAAAAAGAGATAGGAAAATAAAAGAAATAGTAAAAAAAAAGAAAGAAAGAAAGAAAAAGAAACAAACAGATAAAGCTGAAAATTTTAGACTTCGACGGGTACTGAACCTTTGCCTCCATAGTTCACGTTATGCTAGCACTATAACTTATCAAGGGAGGCTTTATTCCCAAAATACGAGGTTATTTTTAGATCATCTCGGCTTTTTGAGATGTCAGGACGGTCTAACCGACCACCTCGGCCTGTTAAGGAGCGTGATTTCGTGATGCGGCAAAATGGCGGGATTGTTTGACCATATGGACATTCATACGTCGTCTGCTACATGTCTTTCCAAAACTCGATCGACGAGATTCCAGGGAGACCAGATACCTCGACAAAGTCCAAAAATAATTTGAGAAGAATGTTCTCTTTGCCTCCTAAATGAGGCTAATATAAGAGACACAACCTCTTAGCTTGATTTATTTATGTTCAGTAAACCATCTCACCATACAGGTATAAAGAAGCAGAAGACAAAAAAAATTCAAATCGATTACCTTTCCATTGCTGACGTTATGGACGTATAGATTTGGAGTATAACATCATTGGTGAGAAAAATGTTCCATTGTGAAAACCCAGGCATAAAAACACAGCACTCTTTCCGTCGATGATGGATGCTGTAGACTCTACATCAAAGACATCTATTTGATTACTTCAAGATTTTGATGTCTTTTAAATTAATGCAGAACACGACAAGGTGAGAGCAATGGGTGATAATTTGGATCTGTTAAATATGTCTTACTTTGAATTCGTTTAGCAGCGTCGTGCTTTTACTAACTTTGAAAAATTATATATTCGTTGTTTTAAAAGAGTGCGAGCCAAGAATAAATTAGCAAAGAATAACAACCTAACATAGATCTCAACTTGAGCGCCCCAAAAAACATTTTTTTCCCTTTTCTCGTCTTGCCTACACATGCTCCGAAATGTGATTTACAACTCCGTGGTAATAGTAGCTTTTGGAAGGCCTCTCTATTGGTTCCAATCAATAATCGACAAAGATCGACAAAAGGTTGTTTACTTTACCGAGAAAATAAGAGAGTTTGAGAGATTGGATTATATGTAAATTGCCTTCTTGATTTCTAGTTTTGTTGCGTTGTCATATGTTTTCTGGGTCCGCTGCTACTCAGTCGATGATTTCGCACAGAAATACACATTAAGGCAGCGTTCTATCCGCTTTCCATTGAAAATAGAAATATAACTGACGCATAATTTTACAATATACTTGCATGTATTGTTTGCACAGAAACAGATACATTGCGCGTTTATCCAAGACGATGTCTTTAATTGTGCAAGTGAAGATTCGAAATTCGAAAAGATTCCGTCTCATTTTATTTGTTTGATTTTACTTTAAAATTTTCAATGGATAAGAGTCTAGAAAGAAACTTGCAAAGTCGCTTTGATTCGCAAAGGTAAGATTTAAAGACGACAACAACTAGCACAGGTAAGTCAAAATCCACTTACTCAATAGAGAAACTTTCCGGGGTTCTCACTACAGCAGTAACAGCATGGCCTTTTGCCAGATTCTGCTGAACAACTTCAAGGCCCGTTGGTCCTGATGCACCAAATACTTTTAGCTTAGGAGACAGTAACTGAGGACCACTCGCCATGGATCGACCTGTAGACTGTATCCAGTGGTTGGTGTTTCGTGACTTGATTGATGGAGCGTGACTTTCCGATGCAAACATATTCATACACTTACATGTAAATTGCTGAGCCATGGCTACTGCCGCAGAGTTACTCTTTCCAAAGCTAGTAGTCTTTGGTGCTACAGGACCAACAGGCCTTGCAGTTGTTCAGCAAGCTCTGGAAAAAGGCCATGCCGTCACCGCCGTAGCAAGAAACCCCGAATCCTTTCCCATAAAGTAGGTGATTTTCATAGCTATGGTTGCTGATGTCTGTTGTCTTTAAATCTCGAGCTTGTGAGCCGAAACAATCTTTGCTTGTCTCGTTCAATACTTACACGGGTCGAGGTTATTTTTAAGGCAAACAAAAATCGTTCGGTTTCATTGCAATGTTTTAAGACATCACAATTAGCAAACTGAGCGTATTTGATACGAATACATGTCTCTCCTTTACACTAATATCAGAACTTGGCGAGTGGAACTAGTTCAGTTTGTCCCATTAAGATTGCTGTTGTCATACATAGTGTATGTGAAAGATTCTGTGATGTTTATTCTTACACAAAATCAGTAAGATGGCAGTAAATCGGGAGAAAATTTGGCAAAGCAACAATAATGGCGATCGAAGAATAGGAATACACGCAACCTAATTTGCATAATTATATTCTTTTCACCTGCATCACTCTTGACTGCGTTTAAGCAAATTGCCATCGGTCTTGGTCAAACATAAATTGAGGGCTAGAAGAGAAGCTCAGTTAGTTTTTAAACCATCAATCTCTAAAGCAAGATCTTGTAAATTTACCAAAGTACAAGCTGATTTAAGTTATTTTTAAAAGACTGATGGGTGTCACGACTTCTACAACCCTGATTAGTCAGTCACGCATGTTTTTTGGGCTTCTAATTAAACATGAGTTACGTTTCAGTCAATGAGTTTTGTATCGCGAAGAGCGCTGCCACGCAGAGTCAAGGTAAGTATAATTAAAAACCAGATAACCTGCAAGTTCTCCCGGAAATAATTTTTGGATTTTTCGCCTCAGACAAGAAAACCTCGAAGTGGTCAAAGGAGATATCTTTGATGTAGAGTCTCTGGTTCCCATCATCGAAGGAAAAAATGCTGTGCTGTCATGTCTGGGTTTTCACAAAGGAACAATTTTCTCGCCGACAACGCTATACTCAAAATCAATAACTCCTATCACATCAGCAATGGAAAGGTAATCGAGTTTTTATATAACGTGAAACACCTGCAGACAGAGAAATACAGTGAGCATTAAATATTTACAAAGATTTTACAAAGGATAGAGCTGAGAGACTGAAACCCCTTGAAAAGGCCTCATTGGACACATTGTCTTCCTCAAGTCATATTCAGACTCAATAATCCGGTTTCCCTAAGATGTGACCAATGCCCTGCATTTTGCTGGTATACTTTAACAAAGAATGTGGGACTGTTAACCCTCAAAGTGCCCAGTCCCCCTAGGAGTATAAATGGAACTGGCGAATTGCTCAGGGAAGCTTGATAGCTTAGGGGTAACCTTGCGATGGACTAAAATTTTATGGGGAAGGGGTGGAGTAGTGATACTCTTAGTCGCTCCATGGTATGGTAATTGAATAAGCTACGACTACGTAGGTCACTCGAGTATAGACTTAAATTCTGGCAAAGAACAAATAGAGAAGAGAACAAAAGTCCTCATGATCTCTAAAGATCAAATACCTTGGCTTCCTCCTCTCTTAACACATAAAGGGCCGGTTGCTTAAACGAAGTTTAGCCGTTTTTCGAATAAACAGCGTTCTATCTTTTGCTGAATCTTCTTTATCTCAACATTCATATTTGTAAACAGTGGCAATAGGGCCGACTGAAAGCAAGTAGTGGAAAACAACCCTCTTACAGAAAATACGTAAGGACCACTGGATGCGTAAATCTGCGATTTGGAGTAGACCTCCAGTTTATAACCGGCCCAAAGTGTTAACTTCTTCGTTTTGATCGCACTCAACAGGACAGGTGTCGGCCGATTGGTTTGTATGACTGGTATTTACACTCAGAAAGATCCGTCAAATCCCAGGTTGTGGGACTGGTTTGGAAGGCCACTGGCACGGGCTTTCATAAATGATATGGTGCTGATGGAAAATATTGTAATGAAGTCCAATATCTGTTACACTATTGTGCGACCTCCAATCCTGACGAAAGGTACATAATAACATACTATGAGTACTATCGAATCATGTTTCCATTGATTATTTACCTTTCTCTCCCTGAAAGCTTATATCGCACAAATTTGGTGAAAAACGATGAATCTACTACACCAATTATGATTTATTTCTCTTTTCTAATCGAGGATTTCAAACATATTGTTCCCGAATGCAACAGTTTGGTTAGTAATTATGCTCGAAGTCTTGTCTTTATTTATGATCCAATGAAAATTTTCCAGGCTATGCACTTAAAATAGATTATTATTCTAACTCTTACGGGAACGATAAAGTTGTGTTCAGAGTCACCCTCGTAAGTGCTCATGCTGAGTGTAAAAAATATATATATTCAAGCATTTAAAAAGAATGAGATTCAGCTTTGAAGATCCTTCTCCGGCCATGCCTCACGTACATTACAATTTCAAGTTTACGAACATTTTGAATGACCTTAATTAGTGACCTAGCCGAACTACGACAAACAACCCACAATAAAGTTTTCCTAACACAGCCCTGTTCCACAGACTAACCTTAAACATACGACCATCTCACTACAGCTGTTTCAAGCTGGGGAAACTTTGTCCAAACGCTATGCAAATCTATAACTTTAGATACTCAAGGTAGCGAGGCCTCCTTAATAGCCCGGATGTCATTGTGGAGGGGATTGCTAAATCATAAGTACCTTTGTACACGTTTTTGTCTGAATTTTTTCTTTGTTTTTTTAGGCCCTTTGACCGAAACTAATTATGTGGTAGCAGAGGGACAGTCTGTACCAAGATCTGCCTGGAGAGTTTCTCGCGCTGATGTCGCTCACTTCATGCTGAAGTCATTACAGAGCAATGAATGGGACAACAAGGGCGTCGCAATCGCTGGCAAGAAGTAGAGTCTTCTTGTAGTCGTTAAGTTTGCCTCCAAGTAGAGGCACTTGCTTAGTCATAGTTAAGGAGAAGATGCTCCAAATAGACGAACGAAAACGCACCCTTGCAAGCAAGCTGTTCAGTTGGCCGAAATTACCGTTTTATTTTATCTTATTGGATAAGAAAGGCGGGGTTATTTGCCGCATTGCACACACTGTAGTTCAAATCTCTTCAAATACGTTGGGTCAAAGAGGCTTCAAATAAAAGCTAAAGCAAAGCTCTATAAATGAATGTTTTTGTCGTAGTTATTCCCAATTTGAATGGCAAACAATATTAGTATAAAAAATATCGTGTGAGTAAAATTGGTGAGACTTACACTATGGAACCCGGGGGAATCAAGAGAGCCACACGGAAATGAGCAGTGTATACCGGATTCGACTTAAGGAATTAGAGAGACCGTGAAATGAAACTTAACAATAGCGCGGTAAATAAAACATGAAAGAAACTCTTCTCACAAACGAAAAAAATTGACGCAGGCTCATATTGTGTAGTGGCGGTAGTGATTTCACTGAAAGAGTAGGGGAGGGGGGAGGGTGGGGAGGAAGGCAAATATACTTATGCCTTGATAGAGCAGTTAGAATTAAGTTTTTTATTGGTGTAAGAAGAATCCTATATTTACTTTCATTTAAGAAATGCAGTAGAAAACCCCCAAATGGCTTCTTCCACGCTCAAATAGCCACAACGTGCTACAAAACAAAGCAGTCAAAAATACTCACTGGCCGATGACGATAAAAGAGACTGGAGCCGACTAATTAAAAGACGAGTTAGTACTGGAATCTGGTACTTAACAAAATGGCGGATAATTCAAGCGTACCGCCGATTTGGTGTGATGTCGGTAAGAACTTCAATGCTACTTATTTAGTGGTTAGTTTGGGACATACTGCGAGAAGGAAATGCGCTAATAGTGGTGATTTAAAGAAAGAGGTTAAAATTTGTCCGCAACATTTGGAGATCAACAGTCACGTGGTCAGCGTAGATACTATGGACAAGATACATGGCGATAACGTTTCTGTGCATTTTCCTGGTAGGTGTGTGCTTGTCTACAAGTAAATATATTGCAAAGCTACCCAAGTGTCATAATTAATAATTGACCGAGAAATGTTTGTCGAGCTTAGAGCAATGTTAGCTAGGAGAAAATTTCGTCTAGATGAACTTAACGACCGTGTGCTCCGCAAAGTACAGGGAACTGTGCGATGGAGCTATACAAATATTTTCCCATTTTTTCGGTCTTCTTATCCATTGTGGTGGCCAAATCGGTCGATAAAATATGTATGATGCAGCCTGCAGACTACAGATTGGGTACAAAATGCAGACTGAGAACGAATATCATTCTTTTCAGAGTCAAATCTAGAAATGTGATAATAATTTATAACCTGCCCAATTTACTGCCCATTATAGAACAATCACTCGTATTATTTGCTGATTGGTGATTTAATTGGTTCATTTGGTGGAAAACTGATCTATGGCTAAGGAATTGAGGTGAAATACTCTAAACTCATGTTAAAGAATGTGGCGAAATCTTTCAATGTCAGTTCAGATCTGATCATGCTACAGTGTATTAAGCCACAAGTATCCTCAAATGCAATAATGGGATGATGGGAAGGGATAGGTATTATAAGGTGTATTTGACCCTCTGATATGGTGGCATCCATTTCTCTTGATTGATGAGGTTGTAGCTTTGGCTCGGGCAGGACAATATGGAGACCTTGTGCTGTTCTCTAGATATATGTTAGTAGTCTCCTCTTTCTGTTGCTGGTAGGATCAGAAAGAAGGATGAGGATGAATCAATACAGATTGGTTCCAGCACAGGTATTGTAGGTAGCAGAAGACGAAAACAGTCTGCCATCCCCTAGTCAAAAGGACTTCCCACTTTCTGTTTGGGCCTACAGCCTCTCTCATTTCCAAGGGAACACACAAGATGAACACATATTGATATTAGGGTGTAAATGGTCGATCGGTCTCTGCCTATTTTCCAGACAAGGTGTCCTACATGTAGTAACATAACTTGGTATTATCAACTGAGTTAATAACATAAATTGGACGCCTCTCTGATGAAGGACCAACACCTGAAACATTTTCATTCAAACTCTTCACAGTGGACAATTTACTTTGTTGACTCATTTAATAATACCAAATTACATTTAACTGAACTCCATTTTAACTTACAAGATGCACCCTAAATAGTTTCTTTCAGTGTGATACCCAGGAGTGTAAGTGGCCTTTCAACATGTGGGAAAAATGAGATTCAAATGAGGCTTGGATTTGAACATCAAACATGTCATGAATCACAAGAGGGATTTACAAAGAGAATTTTGAAGGAGGAATTAAGAGAATTGAGGAAGGGCTGTCACAGTGTTTGTTGCCGCATGTGTGGTGCATCCATTCTTTCTCCAGAAATGTAAGCTTTACTGGACTTTTGCACAAGGCAATCGTACATGTAAATATCATTCAGGTTTTGCAAACATGTTTTTCATGGTCATTATAATCAACAGACAGCAGATTGCAGACTTTCAGACCATGATTAAATATTGAAGCTTATACAGGCTAGACATACATGTACACTGTAGAAGAGCCACCACAGAGAAATATGTGAAACATAGATTGTACTGTATTTGTACATGTAACTTTCTCAAAAGTCAAATTGTAACTTTAATTCCTCTTTAAAATGTATTCCTCATGTTCAGCTGTCTTATTACAACACCACCCCCCTACCAAAGATAACCTCTATCTTTGGGAATGTCTAGCATGTGACCTTATGGTGGAAACATTGGACTACCCATTCTGAAATTGGAACCAGTACTGCCAACTATGATAACGTACAAATAAGTGCAATTAATTTCATTTGACAGGTTCTGTAAAGTCATTAAACTATATGTCCCAGATAATAAGTGTAGCATGCTATGATTCAAAGATCTTTGTGGCAGGCCATATTTCACAGTACTGCCAGCTAAATTCAAAAGTTTCTCTAAATCAAAATCTTTCCAATTTGAACTCCAGATATGAAATAGATTTCTTACCATTCTCATTTTCTTGGTTCATACTGTAAGATACAGAATTTAGTATTTTCCACTCAGATTTATGTTTTGTGCTCAGGCCATAAATCTGAGCTGAAGGATCTCTGTTAGTAAAAAAGGGTGTATTAATTGGTAAGTTTGAAGCAAAGGGTCATTTCATAGGTTTATTACAAAGGGTTTATCCTAGTTTCAGCTGCAGAAAGTTACTGAAATTATTAAATAAAAAATTGCTATTCTAACCTGAATGGAATGCAAGTCCATTGCAAAGTTATTCCTCAGCAATTTATCAGGTTTCCTTTAACATTTTCCTGCCCCCATTTATACTTCTGTGTGATGGGAGGCACAATAAGAGAGTTAAAAGTCTTGCCCAAGAACAAAACACTGAAGTGACTCAGCCAAGGCTCTAACCCCTGCTTTCCGTATGGAACACATTCTGTTAATAAATATGCCTCTGCATCTCCCAACTTTTAAATATCATTGATTTTCATCTTTGTTTTTTTAAGACAGTTTGACAGAGTTCTTGAGTTGCCTTCTGAAAACTGGCTCAAACTTGCTCAGGACTGGTGTTGTCATGGAACAAGTCATCTAACATCTGCTTCAGGGGTTCTTGAACCAGGTGAAAAGGACTGCTTTGTCGGAGAATACTACATCAAAGTGCACCCTTCAACTATGGAACCTGGAAGACTGCAGTTTGCACCAGTAAGGATTGATGAAGATCATATTTTTATGGTGTTTGATACTTTTTTCTGCAAATGTTGCAGCATGGTCAGTGGCTGGGGGAAGGCTTTGATTGTTCTTAAGTAGTGTAGAAATGTGAAATTGTTTGCTTTTTCAAAGGGCAATGAAGATCAAGTTATAGAGTGTTGCAGATGCAAAACCACTCTGGGATGTATTCATGCAGATTCTGTGGTGATGGATCTTAGTGATGTAGAATCCAGCATTTATCTTTACAAGCACACTGTTAGCCTACGATTCAGTAACTTGTTCAGGTACAGCATTTTCCAAACTTTTTATTGGGCTTGTTTTAAGTCATAATTTATGTATTCTTTCACCTGATCAATCCTGGAAATCTGAAGATTCAACAGTTAAGACCATGACTGACTCAGCAGACAGATAATGTAATTCTAGCCAGAACTTGTGTTGGTGGGTGACCGTGTGGTTAATAAATTGGGGGCTGTGTTAGCACTGAAAGACCACATAAATTTACATCTACCTATGAAAAAGTTCAACAACCTTACAATTTTTGCACTAAATTAAATGAACACAGATGAAACATTACAGAAGTTTTTTTTTCTTTTTCAGGACATATTGCATGGAAACATTTCTCTCAAGTTGCTTGACTTCCAAATCACAAGGCACTGCAAACTTTCGATTTTTAATTCAAGAATCCAAGCAGAATGGTGGGATACAAACACATGCCTGTGTAAGTCTTGACTGTATTGTTTTCTATTACCAGAGGGTTGTCATTTAGTAGTCTTCAAAGAGACTGTTTTGTTTAGAGGGGGCAGATATTCAGAGTACAGTATTTCAGCTCATTTCTTTCAGACAGCCGTAGGTAATTTTCCACCAAGTCAGCAAACAATATGAGTGATTGTAAAGTGATTGTTCAACAATAGGCAGTAAATTGGGCAGGTTATAAAATGCTATCACATTTCTACTGTAAGTTTGACTGACTTGGATAATATTTTGTTCTCAGTCTGCACTTCATACCCAATCTGTAGTCTGCTGGCTGCATTGTACATTAAGAGTGACAAGCAACTTTTCTCCTTGAAGTTTCACTGCTGATTCAAACATTAAGGTCATCCATGAGAATTAAAGAAATGATTTGCCAACTAAAGGAGCTCTTGACTGTTAAACAAATTCACCATGTTGGTACCATGAGAAATGTACAGAGAACAGTATGGGGAATATGCACACTGATGTTAGGGCGTAGAGGGTTAAGGTGGAAAATTGACTAAGGTGCTTAGTACTAACATTTTATTCTACCACATACTCACAATGTCTTGTCTTGTCAATGGCAATATAAACCTACATGTAAGTATTCTCTCTATGCTATGTGTGCATACAGTTTGATATATCAAAGAAGTTAGACGGCATTTATACCTTAAAAAGCCTTATTAGCTGAGGCTTTCACTGATAATTTAAAACTCAGGTATGCCTGATTCCCAAGGTGTTCATATTTCTGCTCAATATCTTAAGATGTTATACATCAGTCAGTCGATAATCATCTTCTTCAGCACAGTGATGGATTGCTCCCCATCTTGAGAGGACTTGCCTCTGCCATGCAGCCACTGTTTCTTAAAGCAAACCAGCAGATTCCATTGACACATCTAAAGAAATGGGGCATCAGAATTATGTAATGCTGAAAATATTAACTGGTTCTACGCTAGAACAATTGTCAGATATTGGAAAAATTACACTTTCGCTTGTTTAATTGATACCCCATTCTCATTTTATTTTCTTTTTTCTCAGCTTTGGCTTTTTAATGCTGATGCTGCGATGATAACGAATATCGAACCTGGAACTTTATATGGTTGTTACAGTAAAACTGGCCTTTTTTCTGTTCGCAATACAGGTATTGACTTTCTTTTTAACTTTTTTAGTCTCTTTTTAAGATTTGTGTCCGTACCAAGTTAGCTGTTGGCTTTACATGTACAACTAAATTTGTGTTGTGCTAATAAATCCAGTCTCTAAGTTTTTGTTACTCTCTGTTTACAGCCAGATACCTGCAGGTGGTGAAAATTCTTTACAAACTTAAGCCACCCCTAGGCACTGATTGGTAAGTTGATATGTTCTCTGTGCTAATTAAAAGTAAGGGCACTATTTCTAAGGAAGCTGGAAAGAACATCTCACCGAGAACTGATTATTTTATTAATTTTTTCTTTTGTCTTTTTTAAGATTTTTGTCCGTACCAAGTTAGTTGTTGGCGATAAATGTACACCTAACTTTGTGTTGCGCTAAGAAATCTAGTCTCTTATTGCTGTGTTCCTTTCTCTGCAAAATTAATAATGAACAGGGAACACGAGGTAGATTCTTGGCGGAACAACCCCACGGTTCAACTGTTAACATTTCCAAGGGAAACTTGTCTGCATCTTATTCTTTTGCTTATGAAGAGTACAACGGCAGTAGCACCTACCATGCGAGAAATAAATGGATTTAAGGTACACTATGGAACTTTTACTAAAGAACGCAGACAGTTTTGTTACGCATCACAGAGAGTCGTCGTGAAGGAAGTATGATTGATAAGCTTTTTATAAAGAAGGGGGCGGGTATTTAGTTTAAATTTGCTCAGTTGCTTAAGATATAACTCAAATGCTTTGCCCTTTGAAAATTTTCGAGTTATTGAATTACCTTTTGGAATCTCAAAATACGGTCAACCTCATATCTCATTCAAACCACTTAATGGCTAAATTTTGTCGTTTCTTCAGCATACTTCTCCTTTAATCTTCAACGCTAGAAGCGATGAGCATTATCTTTCTTCAGCTTATCATAGCGCAAAAATTCACTCAAGACACTCGGAATGCAAGTGAATCCTTTTCTAAGCTCACGACGTTAACTGAGGTGATCCAAAAGCCTCTGATTGTAAACGGTCGGGCTAGAAAAATTGAAAATTTCCTCTCAATTACTTGATTCAAAGGAAATTTCAGAGCCGCCCGAACCGGGATCATTTTTGTTTTTGTTTTCTTGATTCCTTTTTGTTTATTTTTTTGTTTTGTTTGTTTAAAATCAGAACTTAAGCAATTTATTCTATCAAGAGTGGTTATTATTCCTTATACCATAAAATGATAAAGCTAAGGATTGTTTTGAGTTGTTGTGCATTGCTTTTTTTCTAGGTTGGATACCTGAAGACATTGAACAATTGAATTTCCTCTAGTTAGGCTTGGCTGGTGAGATATGATCTTGAAAGGGGGGAGGAACTTAAAGTATCACATTGTTATTTCTCTTTAAGTACATAAAACATGCATTTCTCGCCTAAAGAAAATCATTTTGCCGAGAAATCGCTCGATGACTCATCCTTGCTGTAAGATAAATTGCTGAGGCGATATTCCGTAGGAGTGATGTTAATTTAATGCATTTTGAGTGTGTGTTGCGTGCTATCCGTTACACCGTTGTTGTAATATTTCGCTAGAACGGTAAACAGTCGTTTCGCCTACTAGGAGTTTTGCTAACGACCAGTTGGCCAACATTGTAGGTCGTTTCGCCAACGTCACAGGTCGTTTTCCCTACGTCTCATGGGTCGCTTTGCTAGCATTTTACAAAATGTTTAATAATTTTTATCAGCAGAACTTGAACGACTTCTAATCGACCGAAAAGCCGTAGGGGGGTTAGTTCGTTTCAATACAAAGTGAAAATTAATTCGATACAAGTCCATTCAAGACAAACTGAACTAGGAGATTGGCGATATCTCGGGGAAATAAAGAACGATAATCAGAACTAATCGTCACCGTTACTTTTGCATACTGCAGTCATCACTTTTCTGTTATTAAGGAAGTAGTTCGACAATTTCCAAAAAAACTGTTTTTATTGGCAATGAAACAAATTGAAGTAAGGGTACTTTTTTGACGAAATCAGTGGAGTTTACGAGTCTTCTTTGCCTCGTCATTGCTTGCTGGACTTCCCGCTAGACATGGTGAATCCTTAATCTGTGGGTAGGTTACATGTGTTAGGAATATAAAAAATAAATAAAATCGTCCTCCACGTAAAATTATAAATGTTTTGAGGTAAAAATTAAGTAAGTCCAGTGTTTTTAAACAAAACAAAAATTAAGCAGTTATTAGATAATAAATGACAAAAATGGACAATTATGACCATCAAGCAGATAAGTAAATAAGGAAGAGGGAAAATAACAGCGCTGAAAACGTGAGCCAAGTGAAGACTATTTTGATCTTTAAGTTTTAGATCACTGGGGAAGAAAACTAACTCAATGGTCACAAATGTTGATGCATAAATCATTAGCGGAAACTAAGAATTCGCAATAACAAATGTCGCTTCTTATCTACCCTGCTTTACGGCTTGAGATAAAGCGACTTAAAAGCTTAATGTTCATGCATCAATCTGTACGCTGATACTATTATTCCTAGCCAATAAATCCTTTAAGTTCAAGAGAGAAGAGGAAAGGACCACCTATATTCTTTTTAATACGATGTAAGTCTTCTTATTTCGTCTTAGGTGCGCCTTACGTCTTTGTGTGTTTTCTTTTTATTAACGTTTTCCGAGTCAGATTACATGAAGTCGTAGTATTCAAGTATGGTTCCTGAACTCCATGTGCTGGGCGGGGAGAGGTGCTTAAAAGGTAAAGTGTCTCGAGTTTCAGGAGTTCATCCTGTAGGCCACCCAACCTGTGTTACGAGACACCTGCTTTTGATCAAATTTACCTTAAATTCCATATTTGGTGTCAGGAGGCAACACACCCGTGGCTTCCATGCGGGGGTCCTCCGGCTACTTGGGCTGCAAGTAGTGTCATCTTCAAGTTTGATAAAATTGTTGGGGCACTCTTCATTTTCTGCAACAAGACAAGCTGCCCAAGGTGTGTCGGCGATGCCAGAAGAGCCACACTTACAATTCACCTGGTGATCTGAATCAATCAAAAGTGGAAATGTTATAACAATCAAGATAGAATGATAGATAGAAATTATGTGATAGTGAACCCAGGTTGTCTGCTGGGCCGCTTAATTCTTAGGTTTAATTATTTAAACAAAGCTTAGCCATTGTTTAACAAAAGCGCGTCCTTAACAATCCTCAGTGTAGCTGAATTTTTTTTAACTGAACATCTGCTTTTGCGAACAGTGTAAGGAGGACCGAAAGCTTACAGTGGAAGGACATTCATTTAATTAGATCGATCCTCTCGTTTTTTTTTTCTTTTTTTTTTTTTTAATTGAAGCCATCTTATTAGTTCCCATCAGCGTGATTCACCAGCTCGATGTTTTGTCGAATTTATTCAGAACCCCAGTCAGAACATTTTTAATGAAAAAATGCAGTCTATTTACTTCGTGCTGTTCGCTAGGAAGGATCATCAAATAGTGTTAAACTCAGGAGTATTCTTACCAGAGAGAAATGCGGCGACAAAAAGCAAAAGAGAAGTTAAGTGGAAGCAAGTATTCATCTTTTCTGTCCGCTGAAGACTAAAGTTGAAAAAGCGAATAAAGGAAAATATTAAGCACTTTCTACGACTGTGAAAGAGGAAAATAAATGGAAATATGCACCAAACTTTTCCCTCATGACAAACACTTTCAAAACGCGAATTAATAAGCTTTTCGGACACACTCCTGTCAACATGATCCTGTTTAAAGGCATAAATGCTAACCCAATTTAATTTTTCAAAAAGAAGGTAAAATTTTCTTTACCAAACTTTTTAAATTTCAGCAACTGAATGGATTAATTGAGGATGAAACGATAAAGTAAGGGGTATTTGCCAAATTTTTGCCCATGATACGTTTGACTGCAACAAAACTTACCGAACAAAAGGGTTGAGATATACTCACGAAAATGATAGACTCACCTTTTGAGTTCTTTACGACAATATTGAAAATAACTTTTCCTTTAGCAGTGTACCAAACAACTACATGTAATGTATTGTGTAGTGATTCAACTGAACGCAGTTGTTACCTCAGATATCTCATTAAATTTGCTGACAGAATATTGTGTCGTAATTACTCAATCTCACAAGCAGAACCATGAAAGAGGGTAAAGCAAAGTTCACTGGTACCAGAAATTAACCTGACTTTTCTCGTAAATTAGAAACCGTGTTATTGTGTATCAGGACACGACTAGCCAAGGTATGTCGAATGAGTTTCCCCTTTTTTTTTTTTTTTTTTTTTTTTTTTTTTTTTAACATGGCGGAAAAAAAGCTGTAGGAGTAGGCGAATACATAAAAACGCGAGTTTGGATAGGACATCCATTCATCATCAGTGACTAGCAGCATACATTTCGTATTGTAACTAATTGAAACGTTTTGAAGCGCACCTGGTGAAGATTGTCCTTGAAAGATAATGTGTAAATGTTTTACTTGAATAGTTTGCACCAACCTCTATTATTCTCTCGGCCGATCAGTTTTGGTATACTTATTGCACGAACTGCCGCGAATCAGAGAAATAAGATGAAGTTTTGGTAACATGCAACGTTATTAGGAAAAACGTTCGTTTACCTCCCTGTTGATGGTACAGAAATTTGAAGACGAAGTATTTGATGGAAAGCTACAGTTGATACCTAATCGATGTCCCATTTTTTCCGTTTTATCCTCTTCTAAAATCGAGATTAATATAAATCTTTTAAAAAAGCAAATCTTGAACGACAGTGTAGTACCGTGAATAGAGCTTCAGCAAATTTACTGAACAATATGTCCTATAGCTTTAAACGAAAGAATGGACTCGTAGTCTTACTGAAGTTCCTTTTTTTCCCCATCCTACTTTTCTACCAACCCTCTACACTCTAATGTCAGATTACAAGTTGTTCATACTAATCTCTATTCGTTATCTTGCAAGGAAAGTTTGCCCAACAATCAACAGCTTCTTGAGTTCGTGATCATTTTCCTTATTCTTATTAGGGGTTACAGTGGGAACCTGGTTTTCCCACCTGGGTTTCTAAAACATTGTTACTAGTTGGAGTGCTTTTCATGCATCAGTTGTTATCTTTAGATAAAATTGAATAGGTCTGTAAGTTGGTACTGTATGGTATCATCGCTTTACAAGATTCGAAACTTGTGGAAATCCCTTTTTAAAACGCTAATATCATATGATATGGAATTTTACTACAATGTTCAGGAATTCTGTGGACAAAATGTTATTTCTCGCTTTGATGCAAGATAGTGCTGATTTTGTAGGGTCCAGAAATACACGGGCTCCATTATTTTTTAAGCTTTGTCTAAATTCCTTTTCTTTCCTGTTTGAAAAGCCGAAATATAAAATATTTTTTCCTCACGTGTTTCGGTTTCATTTTGCTGCTTTATCGGATTGTAAAATTACAGTCTAATCGATTACTTGCCGGAAATTAAGGGTACCTGCATCACGAAAATGTCGGTAAAAACTAACCTACGACCAAAATGGACCACTGGTTTAATTGAAACAAAACATAATACAATCACAATAAAATAAAAAACAAAAGACAGTTTAAATAAAGATGAAAAAATTAAATTAAATTAAAGTAAGATAACGAGAGCAAAAGTCACCATAAATTTTTAACGACGAATTGTTGAGGTTCACTGAATGTAATTCCAAAGGATAACTTTGTGGCTCATTGAATTCATTTAGGACACTCTTTCAAGATAGAGTACCGTAAATTTAAGATAACTCTTCTTTTAAGACAAAGTTGGATAACATTATTATCAGGAAATGTTTTGTTCTATTTTCTTAGTGTAATGGAAAATTTAAATATCAGTTTTAAGTAAAAATCAAAAGAAAGTATAAATAATTTAGTCGTTCATCAGTTTAACCACCTACACGTGACCTAAATGTATGGTTTTTGAATTATTTTTCTTATTATTTTGTTTCATGATGTTTAGTTTATTTTACTGTATTTTGCAGTGAGACTATCATTCCAGGGTAAGCGATGATTGCTGTAAGATGCGGCATCGTTTTTCTTGCAATCCTTTTTGGTGTGAAAGGAACAGAAAAAGATCCTCAGTGGGCAAAAAAACTGCAAGAGGTTCTTCAAGCTCGGGATGAAAGTGTTCCAGTTTTTGAAAAGTTAAAAAGAGAAGGAAATGCCGCACAGGCTGAAAAACTTATCAGTATCCTGGAGCAATTGCCGTCTCATCTTGAAGGGATTGACAACCTCGATGTATCTGCCATAGAAGAGGACAGAAGTCTGCTTGGAGATCTGAAGAGACTTCTAGATGAACCAGAAATTCCCGTTGTATCAAAGTTTTTTAAGAGCAAGAGCCTTCAGACAAATTATCGAGAACGTGGATTAGGTTTCATCCTAAGAACGCTTCGTGCTCATTACGACTATCGCTGCATCACCACTCTTCTCAGTCCGTCCCAAGGGCCACCAGCAAGTGTGGCCATACCAATAGAAACCATGTGTTCTCGAGTAAAAGAAGACCTCGATAAGCAAGATGCTTACACCTTTTCAACAGACAAAATCTGTAAGAACGTTAAATTATGCTCTGGATCCGAAACTCCTCATCCTTATGGTGACTCCGATGGTACTAACGTGCAAGATGCATGTGTTGATGACAATAAATGTGATGTTGCAACCGCCATCCCTATGATGGGTACCTTGCTGTGGTACAAAGTTAGCACTTTCATAGCGCGTAGCTTTTGTAGCAATTCTCTGAGTAGACCCGACAAGTCATCTTTGGAAGCAGATCTCAAAGAGATTGACAGAATGGGACAATTAATTTTGGCATATAGCAGCACCCTTTACTGGGATGATTTCTTTCGAAAAGCAGTTGAAGTACGGGCTTTTTCAAGTCTGCCAGATGCCATGGCACTCGTGGAGGAGAGAAAAAATGCCATGTCTTATGTTTCTCTGGCCTGTATTGATTTACAAGCAGAAGACATGTGTACCGTCGGAAGTATTTCAAAACTGTTCCAATCATTGAAGAAACTCAAACTGGACCGAGACAATCCTCCTGCCACCCGTAACTTGCGTTTGTATTCCAGGATAGACAACCAAGAAATGATAAAACTACAGACTCAAACTTTGCAGCACATTGAACTTTTAGGAAACATCCGAAACTTAGACGAAAATTTGCAAACTGCTGTGGAAGGCATTTCCGGGTATTTCAAAGGCCTTGCAGAGTACGACCAAGGTATTGCCCAGGCGGACGTTACGTTCCTTAAGGATAAATTGAAGGAGTTTGACACTAGGGCTGGCACTCTGTCTGAGAAGCTGGATGGAGATGTAAAAGGTGCCATGATAGCTTTGGTAACTGCTCAGGCCCTCCAAGTAATAGAAGAAAGTACAATTTTGGGACTTAAGATCGCTGAGCATGCCAATGTATTGAAGGTAATCTTTGGCGGATTAGAAGCAGGTGATATCTATGAGCAGACAGCAGAGGTAGCAAGGGCTATTGCGGAAGCAGCAAGAGGAATTGCTTTAATGGTTAATCTTGCAAGCGTGTACGACGACTTGTCAGCACTGGATAAAGACTTCATAGATAACGCAGATCAGATTGCAAACCTTTACGACATGGTGGAAGCAATTAAGAAGAACAAGATCGAGGACATTGGTTTTGATGCAGATAGGTTTATCAAGGGCTACGGGGATTACACGCCAAAAGTTTCGAAGGCTCGGCTTGCTCAAAATGATGCTCTGTGGGCAGCGTTTAAGGACTCGACTTGCGATCTGTTGTTCAGTGCTCAAGGTATTGGTGCCTCTGCAACTCAGGGTGTGGTAGGAGGAATGCTTTTGTGTGAAAAACTGGAAGGAACTTTGGCTGAATTTGCTGCCCTGAGAGAAAATATTTTCGATTTTCAATTTGACCTCGTTGATGCCCTAGCTCGCGTTGTTCGGGGTGAAGTTGCCAAGAAGCTTTCAGAATCTATTACAGTTTCAAACGATCATCTGAGCGCAAGTCAGCTTATGCTGGGCTTTTTTATGGCACAATACCGTCTTCAATCACATGCTGCTTTGTACTGCGATAAGTTGGAGTACCTCAACCAAGGAAAGAAAATCGGCGAGTGCACCTCGACTGGATTCTTTACGAAACATACCTTAGACACTCTTATTGCCTACGAACCAATCTCAACATTTCACGAGGTTGAAAGATTTGTATACATACCAACTCGTCCTGAGAACGATTTTGATACGGGCTTTATAAATCTGCCTTCTCTGGCAAAAGGGAACTCTGTTACCTTCCGTATACCAGCGCGGCGATCATGGTTACTTAGATATAACTGGCTAGCGAGTGGAGAGAATTTGGCACCATTTGTGCAGAGTTTCAAGGTGTACCTTCCCCTTAAAGAATACAAAACGGGAAGTGACAAAGAACATTCAGTAACCCGTATTGAACTGAGGTCTGTCGCAGGCAGCTCATTCTCTGAAACAGGTGAAGTCGTATACAACGTACCTTTCGCCGACAGCATCTACGTTACAACCTACAATGAAGGATTTGATCGATGCCCAAATGGGAAAGAAATATCCAATCCATACAGCCTCTGTGACAATCTTCCCGCCGTCTGTGATACCAGTACCCGGGTGACGCCCGATCCCGCAACACTTATGCCCACCGTTCTATCAACATGGAAACTCAACTTCACCAAAAATTCGGGGGAACAAATCTTGACATGGAACGCGCCAAATCCTGCCACGAATCTTCTAATCATTGGAAAAGTCAAGCTTCGTTTCCTTCCCCAAGTCAAGAAAAGGCGCATTATAGGGCGACTCAGAGACGAAGCACCGGATGGGTGTTGCTCAGGGAATGCTTACCGCTCAGAGTGGAGAAACAGAGCCTGTACGTCTTGCCCTTCCCCCACCTCATGTCCATCTCCCAACCCCAATTCATGCCCAACAAAATCAGTCGTAAATTTAAGAGGATATTATTGTGAAAAAGGAAATGAAGATGTGGCGAAGGAACCATCTAGTAGCTAGATTTCTACTTTAACACGTCGGAACGAGAGATCATGATCAAATACACACTGCCTTAGAAAACAGTTCGAGTGATTAAAAGTGATGTGATCTCGCTCGATTAACAATCGCATGAATGATTAGAATAGTTTAGATTTAGGTTTTCAAGAATTAGGAAATACCGGTATCATGTCCTCTGAGTTTTTGTGACAAATTCGACCGTAATATTGTTCAAATGAACGAATTAAATCTCAGATAAATATTTATTGCATTATATTCATCTCTAATGCTATTAAATTGTACGTTCTTTGAATTCAGTCGTCCAGGAGGGTTATAATGCCGACAAAGACGAAAAAATAACTAAATAATAAGATGATTTAAGATAGCGCTATTGAAGAGACCATACGATGTTTTTATGACAGGAAAAAGACAAATTTGTCTCTGTGCATTCCTCTCATACACCTGACTTAAAATGGGATACTTGTTACCTTTACTGACTCCTTGTCATCTTTTGGTATGGAATTTAATTTTAACTTAAACGCCATTGAGCGCTGAGACGAAAATGGCGTGTTGAGACTCTTGGGTTTTGTTCTCTTTGGCGCTCAGAAAAAATATAATGACAGTCCAAAAATTTATGTGGGTAGGGAAGGCAAGGCTGCATGGCATATGCTAACTTTAGGCATAAAATGTATCATATTTTAGAATCTTAAGAACCAGAAGAACAAGCAATAATGCCTAAAATCTCTGTAAAATTTAATTTGACGACAAAGTCACTGAGCCAATATGTTCCAGAATATGAGCAGTTGTAGTCTAACGCTAATGATTCTCTTCCTGGCGCGAACAGGAAAAGTAGGAATGAAACGCATGCACGATGCATTCGCTTAAACTCAATGGTACAACCAAATGTGCTAAGAATTCGTAGTGGACAATGAATCAAGAATGCCTTTTTTGAAGCTCACAACTGCTTAAACCAGTCACTGAGAGACGGGGAAAAGACGTTATTGAAAAGCGACTAGGTTATTAGGCAGCACTCCAAATGGCGGCACCCAAAGTTAAGTTTCCTATGATGACAGTTTTCGGAAAATGGGAAAGAGACGTCTAATCCATACAGTCTTTGTGACAATCTTCCCACAATATGTGATACCAGTACCAGAGTGACACCCAAACCCGAAGTTCTTATGCCCACTATTCTATCCACTGGAAGATCAGCTTCACCAAGGGGTCAGGGGGAGAAGACTTGACTTGGAACGCACCAAATGCCGCCACAAATCTTTTGATCATCGGAAAAGTTAAGCTTAGGTTTCACCTTCAAATCAAGAAAAGGCGCGTTATGGAACGACTCAGCCACAGTGCAGCCTTTGGATTTTGCGCTGGGAATACTTACCGCTCAGATTGGAGGAACAGAGAGTGTACTTCCTGCCCTTCTCCCACCTCATGCCCATTTCCCAACCCCAATTTATGCCCAACAAAATCAGTCATTAATTTAAGGGGATATTATTGTGGAAAGAGAAAAAGGAAGATGTAGCAACGGAACCTAGTTAGCTAGACTATTGCTCGGAGACTTTCAGAATGAGAGGTTGGGATTAAATGCACTCTACTTCAGGAAAGGCAAAAAATAGTTTACTAAATAAGACAAGATAAGACAAGATAAAATGGAATAACGGATACGGAAATTTAAGAACCCGCATTACGAATCCTGTATTATGTTAAAACTGACTCACTTTTATTTTGAAACTTGTTTCTTTTAGTGACATATTATCATCTCCTGGCGTATAATTCAACTTCAACTGCGGCGACGCCTTTTGAATTCCGTTTAGTTCTGTTTGGTTCTCAAAAACAAATTTTCTTTTAACAGCAAGCAATAGTGCATGCCGTATGCCAGGTAATAATTTTTACCCTTGAATGTTGCTATACGTCTGACTTAGGGAAATCGTTTACAAGTACAAGTTCCAGTGAGAAAACCTATTATTGTACGACATTTTAAATGAAATTGAATAGGATACTTTGGCCCTTTGCATAGGAGTGGATATCAAGAGAGGATAAAGTGAACCTTTCCTATTTCTTGGAGTGCAATCATTACATATACGTTATTGACCAAGCGCGAGGTCAAGATGACGAGATATTGATCGAGTTCTAATGGACTTTGAATTTGCTTTGATTCCGTCTATAAGGACGCGAAAATGGCTCATATATCTAGCCATCTTGACCGAACAAGCTTGGTAAAAATATCCCATCTGAATAAGAATCGAGAATGACTTGTTTATTTCCGAGCTCTGGGAAAGAGAACAAGTTGTTAAAGCGCGTCTTCGAAATTCATCGGACAGATTGAAAACAAAAGCGATTTGAAAATGTTCCAGTGATGATAAATAAACGTCAACCATCTCAGTTGAATTCAATAAAATACCCGCACAAACTCCCAGGGGAGCTTTTAGGAAGCAAATTTCAACTTTTTGGACGAAAAAAGAAGCGATTATGTTCTTTAGAATTATGCGAACTGAAAAATGGCAGGTACGTGCTTAGGGCTGTTACGAGCATGTTTTTCGAGGGCCATGGATATGAGCAATTAGAGGGATGTGGACAGATACCACTCCCCTCCGAAAAATTAAGACAAAAGAGTACGATATTCGGCGAAAGCCATTATGCTGTCACTAATTAAGATACAAATTCAATAATTTCCAGAAATTGTTTATTTTGAAAGAAAATTATTGGAACAAGTCTATGCTTTTTAACAAAATTATTGGTGTTTGAGTCTTCTTTGCCTCGTCATTGCTTGCTTATTTTCCTGCCAGACATGGTTAATCCCTTGTCTGTGGGGAGATAACATGTGCCAGGCATTTGAAACACAAAAATTCGACCGCTACGAAATTATGAAGGCAACACTGAATTAGTTCTATAATTTTATGAAGCAAAAATAAATAAATGTTACACAATTTGAAACAAAATGGACCATCAAATAAATGATGATTAATATGCAAATAAGTTAATAGTTTAGCCAAACTTGAAGAAAACTACAGCGCTGAAAACGAGAACAAAGTGAAGACCATATGATCAATTTGGGAGATCGTTGAAGTCACCGAAAGATCACCGTGGAAGAAAGACTATTTCAATGGCCTCTAATGTTAATCCTTAAATTTGTTGTAGAACTAAAGATTTTTAGGTGCTTTGACGAATATATTTGTAGGCTGATTACCATTCTTTAAAATCTGAGATAAACCGATATAAAAGCTTATTATACACGGAGCTTTCTGTAATATTTCAAGCCAAGGAATCTTTCAAATTTATTTTCTTTTAACACCTACTTGTTTTAAATTAAATTTACCTTAAACTCAGTATTTTGGGTGATAAGGCAACACACCCAGTGGCGGTCTCCTATGCTACTTGGTGCACAAGCGCCATCATCGTCAAGTTTGATGAAATTTTTGGGACAGTTTCCTTTTTTTGCAATGAGACAAGCTGCCCAGTCTGTTTCGGCAATGTTATAATCGCCGCACTTACAATTCACTAGGTAATCTAAATGAATTCAAAAGTATGAATTTTATAGCAATCAAGATACAAAGACAGATGAAAGTTATATGGCTTGTTAGCATTTGGTGTGAAGAGGTTGCGTTTTCGTATCCAGTCGGTTGGCTCTCGGTTCGCACTCATACTAATAAGGTATGTTTCCATTTTAGTATTTGTTCAGTAAGGTCAGTGTTAAATTATTGATTAAAAAATTAATTATCAAAAATATATGAAAATGAATTTTTATTACTTCAGTTCTTTTTCTTACTCTTTTTGTAATTAATTAAGAGGATTTTGTGTAAGATCAACTGAACAACCTCTTCCTGCTGGGTTTGAATGTTTCATTAATCTCATTACCTGTTTGTTGGATGATGAATAGATGTGTTAGGGAGAAGTTACATATTGATAACTTTTGGGAGTTAAAGGGTTAGCTAGTTGCTGTGGAAAGAAAACAACAGGTGATAAAGTAAATGCAATCGTCATCCCAGGGGTCCCCTTCCCACCACTTCACCTACGTTTTACTTTAAGCTACCCTACATGGGCCATTTTTCTGCCAGCACACAAAAAAAGATTCGCCATTTTATCAAGCCCTATTGCAATGACTTGGATACTAAGATCGGCAACTTGTTTGGTGTGAAAGACCCTGTCCCTGACGGGCTCCGTTCACGTGTGGTTTATAAGTTTGTATGTGCTGGTTGTAATGCTTGTTACGTCGGTGAAACGTGCCGTCATTTTTCCACACGTGTTAGAGAGCACTTAGTCAGTGACAGGGCCTCTCAGATTTTCAAGCATCTGCAAAATTCTGCTCATTGTCGCGCTTTGTGTTCAGTAGATAGCTTCCATGTTTTGGATCACGCCTCTACCGGTTTCCAACTCAAGATTAAAGAGGCTATTCATATATTCAAAAAGAACAACCATCCTTGAATCAACAATTACACCATGTAAATCTAAAACTATCCTTTTAATTCTCACACTTTCATGCTTCAGCTCTTTTCTTGTTATCACCATTTATCATAATTAGCATTGTTCTACTTACCATAGAAATTCAACTTCCAACGCTTTGTACATTAATTAACTGAAGATGAAAGAAGTTTCTGTCGAAACATGTACTACAGACTTAAAAGTTTTGTCGCTTTCTTTAAATTAAATGAAAAACTGTTAATTCAGTTACTTATTTGTAGATGTGTGTAACCTCTGATGTTCTCCCTTGCAACAGGATGGTTCAGCTACAACAACAGCATGGGTGACGTTGGAAACCTGAGCCCTCTATTTTAAAATGCCTAAGTTTTGGTTTAAATCTGAAGATTACAGTTTCCTGGGATAATATTTGAAATGTCTCTCAATTTACAGGACCGTGCCTTCTATAAGACCTGTACAATTATATACTCTGAGATGCTTTAAAAATTTGTATTTGCGTGTTTGGTAGGACATATACCCAAAAAGTGACAAAGAATTATTTCTGTAAGCATGATTGGGTGAAGTAATTTATGGCATTAAATTGCCCGGATGGTAAGAGGGGTTTCATGAGAGTAATGTAAACCTTTCAGCTTTCAAACTTTTAACTTTGTAATGTAACTGTTCAGCATATCTATTCTTTTGTAACTTAAAAACACTAAAAAGTTGTGAAACAGATTGTTTTTGTAACAGCCAAGTCTGTAGCCTGCATGTTTTCACTGATTAAAATGGAGGGAATATACAATTTTGCTTAAGTTACCTTATTACATGTATTAGCTGCTTTTTTTCTGACTAGGTGTAAATAGGCGTCAGGAAGTATCACGATTTAAAGGAGCGTGGGCGGAGTTAATATGCCACCCAATTGCATGGTTAGTTGGGCAGGTGCGACAAAGCTGAATTTTCTTTTTTGCCAAAGAAAACCGCTTTTTGATGCTCTTTCAAACGTGTACTAAACTGATATTTGGGTCTGTCCGATGTATTCGTTGTCACAGTCATTGCAAGGAATCGAATAAATGGCGTCGGTTCGTTGTTCTTTCGTGACAGGATCCTTAGGTTTGGCGAAAATATGCCCCAAAGTCTGAAAAGGTTTTTGAGCAACTTTAACGTTGTGGCTATTCAAAATTCTCTTGATGGGTTCCGTAACATACGAAAGCAGATCAAACCCCCTTTAAATTCCAAAAAAAAACCTTTGATCCTCTGCTCCCTCTACATAATTAATATATGGTCTCCAAATTCGTGAATAACCAGCCAGAGAGGAGTTTTGATAAAGCGAAGGGCTGTAAATAAACCAACTGGAGCTCCTCTTTTAGGCTTGGCTAATTCTATTCAAGCAAATTTGAGAACCTTTAGCCAATTTCAGTGACAGTTAACAGTGGTCAAAACAAAGTTTCTCTTTTTACGCTTTTTTCCTTCTTACGTCTATTCATTTTCTCTAAATTTCCATGAGTGATTACACTCCAAAGGTTTCGAGGGCTCGTCCTGCTCAAATTAATGCTTTGTGGGCAGCGTTTAAGGACTCGTCTTACGATCTGTTGTTCAGTGCTCAAGGTATTGGCGCCTCTGCGAGTCAGGGTGTACTAAGGGGAATGCTTCTGTGTGAAAAACTAGAAGGAACTTTAGCCGAATTTGCAGCCCTTAGAGATAACAGTTTTGATTTTCAATTCGATCTTGTTGATGCTCTGGCAGGCGTCGTTGAAGTAGCTAAGAAGCTAGCACAATCTATAACTGTTTCTGATGACCTTCTGATCGCAAGTCAGCTTATGCTGGGCCTTTTTATGAAACAATACCGCCTTCAGTCACATACTGCCTTGTACTGCGATTAGTCGGAGTACCTTAACCAGGGCAAGAAAATCGGCGAGTGTTTGTCGACTGGATTCTTTTCCCGACGATCATGGTTACGCAATTACAACTGGTTGGCGAATGAAGAAAATTTGGCACCATTTATGCAAAGTTTTAAGCAGTACCCTCCTATATATATTATGAAACGGGAAGTGATAAAGAATATTAAAAAACCCGCGCCGTGCTGACGTCGGTGGCTGGCAGCTCATCCACTGAAACTGGTGAAGTCGTATACAAACTACCATTAGCTGACAGCAACTACGTCACAATATACACCGAAGGATTTCATAGGAAAGAGATGTTCATTCCGTACAATCTTCCCAGAATCTGTGATACCAGAACCTGAAGTGCTTGTGCCCACTATCCTATTCACATAGATGATCAGCTTCACCAAGGGGTCCGGGGTAGAAGACTTGACTTGGAACGCTCCAAATGCCGCCACAAACCTTCTGATCATTGGAGAAGTTAAGCTTCGGTTAAGCGTGTTATAGGGCGATTCAGAGATGAAGCAGCCCTTGGATGTTGCACTGGGAATACTTACCGTTCAGATTTTTCTCAAGCCCCAATTTTAGTCAAGTTGGGGTTTGATTTTCACCATTTCGATATCAATAAGGAAAGTAGAAAGATTAATGTAAATTTATTGAAAGATAACGAGTATAAAATTAATAATTAACAACACCACAACGTTAGTTAAGATGACTATGATCATGGGAAATATATTTCTCCAATACGCTTCTCTTGCGTTTTCGTAATGTGCAGTGATATGGCTCCGCCTGCCAAAAAACAGAAACAAACAAATCAGAAAAGAAAAAACGAGAAAACAATGCAAAATATACGCCACTGCTGTGTGTTTTGATCTGCAAAAAATGCTCCAAAGTTTCATTTGGCTCTTATCATAGATCATCATGTGCTGCATGTGTAACGGTGGTTATATTTACTCAATGGACATCTCAGAAAAATGTCTTAGTAGGTTGTTAGTGGGCCAGGAGGTAGTTCAAAGTTGATGGATACTGAAACTAGTTTGCAAGAAATTAAGTTGTCAAAGCTCATTGAGCATGCTTTACCTCTGCGAAAAATTCTGGTTGAAGAAAGCAACAAACTTCCCCGTTGGGGCAAAGGCCTGTCTGTTCAAGTACCGGAAAGTTGTGAGGGCATCCATTGTTCTCAGCCCTGAGGCAAGCTACCCAGTTACTGTGAATAGCATTGCTTCCTGCAGGATTGCCGCATAATCCATTTACGAGTTTATCTGTTACAATAACATTAGAATAAACTTTAACAACGGCAATGAGAATGACAAAGATCAGGAAAAGTATGAAGACAGTGGCCTTAGCAGTGGGAAGGACGGGAATAACATTGGCAGCGACAATGATGCTAAAACGGGAAGAGGCGGAAGGAGTGACTGATAGTGACAGTAACAATGACACTCTAAATCATTAAACCACCTCTATCATGAAAAATTCACGACGATCGGGTATGGATTGTCCTCTTTGTACTTTTACCCATAAACTTTGAACGAATCATGAATTCTTGGCTTTCCCTTTTCACTCCCCCTTTCATGAAAGCAAATACAACTTTTAAGAGAACCAGTAAAAAAGCAAAGCAAGCCCAGGAAGTGGCCAGTAACCATTGACGACTGTGAATGTATGAAAGTCGTTTATTTGAACTGCGAATAAAGACGTGATTACGAAAGCGATCTTCGCAGTTATGAACACTACTTCAGCAGTAGTGAGAAAAGGGCCTGAAAAAATTCAGGCCTGTACGTCAAAATTCAGACCTCTACTTCAAAATTCAGGCCTGTACTTCAAAAATCAGGCCTGTATGTCTAAGATCGCTTTCAAATTCAAGTAACTGTTAAGTTGTTTCATATAATTTCGCAAAGAATGAACGAAGAGATACTTGGTTAAATTGATTGTTGACTTAATTGTTGTCTCACAAAAAATGTTAACCTGTCTTTATGTAACTCCTATTAATGTGTCTATGTGGCAGAGCGTATCAGAGTCTGAAAGTAACTTGATCAGTAATGGTAACCTCATACAAGCTTAGCTTATAGTGGACGTCAATCATGAATAAAATTGTAGGTACAATGACAGGCATTGCGCAAAACGACAAATAGTTCTCTTACCCGACATGTTCAACAATATGAACAGTTGCAGTGTGGTGATAACGAGAGTCCTCATGTTCGTTACAAGAAACCTAGGAATAAAACGCAATAGCAATTCACTCACGTAAATTTCATGGTGCTTCTATCGATGTTTTTCTGAGCAACAGTAATCGCTTTATCTTTTTACGTCTCTAAGATCAGTTTCTTACACTTTTGTTACGAAGCGAACACCGCCATCCTTTCGGAGCTGATTGTTCACAACATGAGCTTTGTTACTTGCTCAAGATTTAAAATATTTTTGCTGCGTTAGGAAAATCAAATGTAAGATTTACATTCTCTTTATTTTTATCTTAACGCCAGGCTTAAAACCTGTAAGGATAAAATGGGCTAACTGTTTTACCTTCCATTTCATGTCGTTAAGATTCAAAAGTCAATAGAGTAATCCCTTACCTTATTTACCGAGTATCCCACAAATTTAAAACAGAATGCTAAATCTTTTCGTTCCTCAAGAGTATTTTAGCTTCTAGAAGGAAATCTTCCAAATAAAGGTACGAGATGAAACTTTTCTTGACGGAGCTTTGTTTGGGGTCAATGTTACTCTCTTCCATCAGTTTTTTCTATGACTTTTTTGACACGACGCAAGAACAGCATAAACAGGTACCAGTAAACAAGACAAACAGGCGTCTTGTAAGTATCTTCGATGTAGGGTCCAATCAGTTTACTCCTAATTTCGTTCATTTAATTTAACTAAGACATGACTTAATGGTGATGACGAATATAAAAAACCTGTTCTACAAAAAAAAGTCGAATTTAAAAATGAAACAGTAAAATTATAACTTTCAAATGCACCATTGTTTCGAAAGAAATATCCAGTCGATTTTGTGTTTTTAAAATTAAGCACTTTTTAGAAGTCCCATTTAGCTGATAAGTTTTGCTACGTTTTCGACTCGAATTATAATCATTCTGTGTAGCAGTGGAAAGTAAAAGTAGAAGTATTCTTTTTCTTTTTTTTTTGTTTTGTTTTTGCATTTGAGTTCAAGCTCTCTGAGGAGCAATTGAACCTAAAAGAATTTGCGATGACAAAAACTCAGCCAGTTGAAAGATTTCTTTTGTTATATTTATTTGCTTCCGTTTCGTTTTGGTTTGGTTTTGTTTTTGTTTGTTTGTTTTTTTCTCGTATTGCGAAGAATAATTAAGACTTGGTCAATACTTCAAACTTTTCGACCAATGTGGTAGCAAAAGTGAACACGTTACTTGAAAACAATATGCTTTAATCACTACGTATAGGAGATACGAAGCAGCCTCTCTAATCCAAAATCGTTTTGCAACGCTCAATTAAAAAATAATAAAAGCAACGCGACATTTTTCTGGTTGACAGGTTATAGTAAATATAATGTTACAACAGTTGCAAATTGAACAGAGGAACCTACAAATAAAAACCGTGACATATGCTTTATAAATAACTTATGAAGCCGTCATTGTGAGATAACTTTGATACAAGAGTTGCTTTATGATCCGTAGTTGTGTGTTCCCAATTTATAAGTCACATTCATTCGATAAATTTTAAGAACAAGATGCGACACTCAAGAGATTTACTGACCGGTCATAAATTAGCCACGAAACTTTTTGTCGGAAAAAAAGCGTGAAACACCAGCTTAGTGCTTCACTGAAAGCAAAGCTTTGGTACTTTTTGAAGAGCAAAATTAACGTTACCGGTTGTTTTGTAATGTGAGAGAAATGAAGTAACATTTTTCTCCCAACATGTAAGACTGTCCTGACCATTGTTAAGATTGTCCTTCGACGCTCAATCACCATAAGACAGACATTTAAGTCTAATTAGTAAAGTCGGTGGAACCTTTAAATATTTGGAAGCTGAAAAGGTGAGCAGTGATGTTAATTTTATGGAGTAAAAATAGAATATTTTTCTTTTTGAAAATGTATCTTTTCAACAAATGACTGGCCTTGTCAGGTTCATGGATACTTTTTGTTTCAGGAAAAAATATGGAAAACTACCTTTTAAAATTTCCGTTATTTCTTATTTGACGACGCAGTTAAGTGTTTTTTAAATGCCTTTCTGTTTGAGTGAGGTTTCTATACATTAAAGCGACAGTAAATAATGATGCATTTTGTACGCTGTCACAATAATTATAGAGCCAACAACCAGTTGTAGAGAGGTAAATCTAACTCTTGATAATGTACAACTGCTGCTAGAAAGCTTTTACTAAATTATAAGAAATTTACTGCTTTTATCTTTGTTTTGCTTTTGTTTGCTTTTTGTTTTGTATTGAACAGTATGACTATTCTATACGTAGAAGGTGAAAAAAATTAGATCCCTTTTTTCATCCACAAATAGTTAACACGGAGTACCACAAATATTTTAAGCAAAATTAACCTCCATAACTTTTTATGTTGGATATTTGTAGACGCATAAATCAGAACATATTTTGATGAATTCTCCAAGTATTTTAAAACATTACAACTTTCTGTTTCAGACTTCCATTTCTACGAAAAGACTTCGGCGAAATACACGTATGTAATTTAGGTCTTCTAAGTTGCTTTTATCGTTAACTAGTCCTTCCTTTAAAATTGCTCTTCTGGTGACGTTCGTATGACTCATGGCAAGGTTTCGATCTGTTTTATTCAGTAGGAGTTTGTACTCGGCAGTCGCCTTGCTATACTCAGTTGTAGCTGGAAACTCGTCATGAGCTTCTCGGTGGGAAGGACATCGCTGCTTTTGTTGATGCTCAACGCTGTTTCTGGAACATTGAGTACAAGTCCACTATGGCAAGACAAGCTCCACCATGCGCTGACAAAAATGAAGGAAATGATCACCGAGGTATCTCGCCACAAGAACAGTAACAGCTTGACTAGCCAAGATACTAAAGATATAATTGAAAAACTACAGAGTCTCGTAAATGAGTTGAAAGGTTTCCAGAATATTGACAGAACCAAAGGAACAATTCAACAAAGAGAAAGTAACCGCATCATGACGGCATACGGAAACATGAAGACCGAAGTGGACAGCCTCTATTCAAATAGCGACTTCACAACTCACTTCGTTCTCAAATCATTACTGGATAAGTTGAAGAGAGGAAATAATCTGGTTTCCATGTGTAACAGTTTTCAAGAAATCTCTTACGAATTCAAAACAGATGTATTATGCATTAACGCCAATGAATGTCACAGGGGAAGCGTTGCTTGTACTAACGGCAACGGGTGCAATGTTATCAAGGCAGTCCCAAAAATGGCAGCTGTTTTATGGCATGAAGTAAGTGCTTTCTTGTCGAACAGTCTTTGCCGTCCAGGCGAACAGAAAATTTTGCAACACTTTACACGTGTAGAGGCCACAGCGTACAAAGTAGGTGCTTACGTTAGTACAACCTTAGACTGGAGCACCACTTTTAGCAACATGCAGAGTACAGGAAAGATATTTTCGAAGTTAGATGTACCATCCGCTCTGAGCGCATTTAACGAGTACGAAGATGTAGCTAAATTCGGTGTTCTGGCTTGCAACGAACTGAAATCAGGGAAAATGTGCCCTGTTGGTTATATATACCTGGAATATGTGCTGCTTAAAAACTTACAGGAGGCTCGGAGACATCCCACGATTTCATCACGAAACTTACGACAAGAGGGAAGACTTAACCACGGTCACATCATGGAGCTTAAAAAGGATGCTTTGCACCAACTGAAACTTTTAGCAAGCATCGAGGATGTAGACGAACAAATCAGAACACACTCTGGTGAATTTTCCAAGTATTTTACGACACTACAAAAATACGACCAGGGTATTGCCACAAAAGATGTAGAATTCATTAAAGCCAAACTAGTAGAATTTCAGGAAAATTATGACGATCTGTTGAAGAAGTTTCAGGAAGACTTCGACCTCGTGAAGGATGTTGCAATTGGGGCTAATATTGCTCAACAGATGGAAAACTTGTTTGCTGAAGGCCTCAGCGCTCTAGGAAAGGGTTTGGCCGATAATATTATAACAGGCGTCGAGATTGTAAGTCTCAGCACCGAGGTTAACAACCTCAAGGCGGACACGTTGAAACTAAAGGAGTCTTTTGAGGATAATGCAGGCCAGATAGTTAACCTGGAAGAGATTGTCGAGGACATTAAGTCCGGTAATGGTGGAGACTCTGGGTTAGAGGGATTAAAGTTCATAGAAGCCTACGGTGGGTACACGCCGAAAGTTGATGAAGATCTACTGGAAAAAAATAATGAACTATGGGCTGCTTATAAAGGAAAAGCTTGTGATCTCTTGGCTGGTCCAGAGGGCATTGCTGCCTCTCTGGCGCAAACTGCTGTTGGTTTAACTTGCGAGAAGCTTGATGGGACACTAGCTGAGTTCTTTGCAACTAGAGAAAGCATTTTCAATTTTCAGTTCGATCAAGTTGATGCGCTCGCCAAAATTATTCGCTCGCACATTGGCACTGAGCTCGCGAAGACCATTGATATCGATACTAATTATGGACGCTATAGCGAACTGATGTTAATCTTCTTCAAGACACAGTCAAGACTCCAGTCTGAGGCCTCCTTATATTGCGACAAGCTGGAATACTTGAACCACGGCAAAACAATTGTTGCCTGCTCCTCAAAAGAACTCTTTACTGAAAGTGAGATAGACAGCTTAATTGCATACGAGCCTAACACATTCTACGACATTGAAGAGCGTTTTGTTTATCTACCCACAAAACCGCAATTTCCAGGAGACGAGGGTTACATCAATCTAGCTTCCCTCGCATCAAACCGCAAAGTAACCTTCCGCCTGCCCGCCAATGAAACATGGCTGAACCACTTCAATTGGTTAACAAGTGGGGAAATCATAGCACCCTTTGTGGAGAGTTTCAAGATATATTTACCCCTCGAGGACTATGCAGTATTAACAACCAGAACGAAGCACTACAAAACACGCATCCAGCTCACTGCGAAGGAGGGAAGCTTCGTAGATGAAACCTCTAAACTGAAGTACGTGCTGCCTCTTGAAAATAGCGAATACGTCACTGTATACGAAGAAGGATACGACCCAGCAAAATGCCCTACAGGAAAAGAAATTGCAAATCCCTACAGTCTCTGTGATAACTTGCCTTTCATTTGTGACACCACTTCCAGGGTATCGAAATCACGTGTCATGCCCACTATCTTGTCACGCTGGGACTTGAGTTTGTCTGTAGAAAGCGGTGCAAAAAGACTTAATTGGCATGAGCTCCACCCTGCCACTAATCTTCTCGTAATTGCAAAAGTAAATCTACGTTTCCCACCTGGAATCAGAAAGCGCTCCCGTGTTTATCGAAGGGACGAATCAGCGTTTGGATGTTGCAGCAATGCAAATGAGTATCGACCAGAATGGAGAAGCAGCACATGTACTGGATGTCCGGCAGACTCGGAAAGCAAAATGGGTGGATATTACTGTGAACGCACGCAGAATACGAAATAGAATATCCATTCTAGAATGCATCTCGAAAAAGATTCATTTCAATATATTTTAAATATGAAACTGGATATGAAGACTTGTGATGAATATACCAGTGTGGTTCTACCTTGTAATTCAAGTAGGTTACCGTTCTTTAAACGAACTGGCGTGCGCTTGATATCTATCAGTGAAAACACACACGCGATATAACCAGTACTTTGTAATGTGAGAATTTGTCAGACATGATTGCTGAATCTTTCCCATTGTTATTAAGCCGGAACCGAAAGACAGTTATCATTGGTTCAATAAATGAATGAAGACATTCAGTAGATGTTTTAAGTGTAAGTTTCATAATTACCTATAAAATCCATAAAGTAAGGAACCCCGTTACCATTTGAGCGGCCTTTGGTGCTTGTAACGACAGGGTAATGGCTACTTTCCATTTTTCGTTGCTTTCGCCCGGCCTAAAAAATCGGCGAAAGCCTTTGTGAGATTGACCTCATTTCCCGGGTAAAAGGCAGGACTATGTCTAAGCAGGTTTTAAAATCTGAACTTTATCAGCGCTGTCGGAAGGATCTTTCCTTACTTCGCCAAATGAACTTTGGAGGTCTTCCCTTTTTAGCAGGAAGTCTCACTGAAAAGTCACGGTCAACAAGGTCGATTAGATAAGCATCGAATTTACTCGCGATCGGGAAACATTTGCGTAATTAAGTAACATGCAATTTATTGATGTCACTGAGAATCATGCTTCTCATATAACTATCTGAATCTGATGCGAACCTTTGGGACGAATGTGCATGTGTACAATTGATAGGGTTCAAAAGGTCTTGTTCCTTAATCGAAGGATTTTTATGTACTTTTTAAAGTTTGCCATGAAATGATGATCACTCGCTGATTGTCTCTTAAATCGAGTTCTCTTTGTTTCAGAAGGCGCAGCAAAGCAGAAGTACTTGAAGCACAAAAATGTCTTTATTTAATATTGCATTCTTCCCTAAACTTTGCTCTGTTGCTTGAAATATTTTCTGAAGACAATGGTAATGCAATTAGATGTTCCACTTTGGAGAAGAGCATGCCTATAATAAGTTCAATTCACGGATTCACCTGAGAACTCCCTACCCTTCCCGCTGTGTCATGTAGCTTTACCTAACCTAGCAATTAGCAATAAAATTTCTCTCTTCGCTCACAAAAGTGAAATAGGTTTTACTGGACGAAGTCACATGTCTTAAAGCGCCATTCGAAGCCAAACGAACGGATACAAAACGAGTTGAAGCCAGGTGCTGAAAGACGATTATGGTTAGACATGCTGACAGATACACTTTAAAATTACTAGCCAAGGCAAGATATACAATATGCAAAAGTAAACCTATAAAATATCAGATAAACAAGCCCACAATATAAGGTTGGTTAAGAACAGCTTCGTGAACTCGAAAACTAGACTATCCAAAAACAAAATACATGAGAAAAGACATTTAATGTAACTTTATTTGATGGTCAACTAATACAAGACTATTCAAGTCTTTGAATGGCTACTCGATTATAGTATTAGTGGTTTATTTATTTATTTGTTTATACTACCATTTTAATCCCGATTACATATTTTCAAAATTGCAAATTTGAAATTTTTTCTTCTCCGGTAGACATAATTATGCAATAAAATCACGCAATGAATTGAAATCTTAAAATGAATACATGCAAGGATGAATGAAGTAATATAGTCTCCAAGTCATGAACAGGTCAGTGATAGTTCCTGGATGATAATGGTGCTTAGCAGTAGGTGTTCAAATGCATACCATAATTAAAACTACAATAAATTACCATTACTGTTTGATAAGAGTCGAAGTAAAGAAAAATGTAATAGAAGGGAGCAATGTTGACTGTGGAAAACATAACTAAAACCAACTCTAAAAACTATTAACTTTGAGAGTACTGCAATGTATATATTAATCTGTTTAAAGCTCTACATAAAAAGGTCTGAAACAGAGGAACTGAAATTAATGCTAATCAAGGTCAGTCCATATGCTATGGAAGCACTGTTCTCGGTGATAACGGTTATCTCTCTGTTTCCCAAATCCTTGCCTAGTTGGATGGCATTTCGCAATAATAGCCTCGCAACATTGAAATGGATTGAAATTCAATTGGGCAAGCCTCGCATGTTTTGTCATTCCACTTAGGGCGATAATGATCGCTGGGACAGCATCCCAAAGGCGGAAGGACACTTCTTTTGACTGGAAGAGTGTCCCTCTTAGTGAGCAACGTATTCGGAAGGTAGCGCAACTTCAGCTTCGCGATGATGAGAAGATTGGTCGCAGGGTTCGGTGCGTTCCAGGTATGGGCTGCGTTGTTCCTTCCTGAACGCATGTTGTATGTTAGTTTCCATGTGGTCAGAATGGTCGGCATCATACCTCTTCCCGGTATTCGCTGAGTGGAATCACAAATACCAGGTAGATTTTTGCAAAGACTGTAGGGATTATTTATTTCCCTTCCGCCTGGACATCGCGGATATCCTTCAACATACCTCGTGACATAACGAGTGTTTTCCAGGGGTAAGTCGTACATAACATCTGAGGAAATATCTACTTTACAGGAAGCTTCAGCAGTCAACGTTACTTGAGTTTTCAGGTATGATTGATGCTCTCCTCTGCTAGGGTAGGTCTTACGTGGGAGGTACACCTTGAAGCTTTCAACAAAGGGAGCTTTGGTTTCTCCAGCTGCAAGCCAATTAAACTGTTTAAGCCACGTCTTATTGAAGGGTGGTTGGAAAAGTACTGAGCCATCAGTTGTTAGCCTTGTTAGGTCGATAAAACCTCGATCACCGGGAAATTGAGCTTGTGTTGGTATGTACACAAATCGTTCGTCTACATGGTAACTGACCTCTGGATTGTAGGCGGCGAGTTCATCTAAGTCGGCTTCACTGAAAAGGCCCATTTTCTTTTTACACACCTCGATTGGTTGCCCTTCATTCATGTACTCAACTTTGTCGCAATACGAAGATGCCTCCGTTTGAAGTTGTGTTTGTGCTTTTAAGAAACCTAGGAATAGTTCTTTTTTGCTTGTGATGTGATAGTTATAATGAGAAGCCTGGCTCTTGTACGTGGATCCTGTTCCGATATTTCCACGGACAATTTTAGCGATAATATCCACAAGTTCAAACTGGAAGTCAAATATGTTACCTCTGAGAGTACCTAGCTGAGCTATTGTCCCGTCCAACTTTTCACAAAGTAGTTTCTTGGCCTTTCCAATTACAAGTGCTTTTCCTCCAGCTCCTACTTTCTCAAACAGCAGTTCGCAGGCCAATTCTTTAAATGTACCCCATAACTCGTCGTTTTTCGCCAATCGACTCTGACTGACCTGTGGGTTATAGTTTCCGTATGCTTCGATGAATGCATCTGCAAGCTCATTAACTCCTTCCTTATCATTTGCTTTTATTTTGTCCATTATATCTTTCATCGAACGCATTTGGTCTGTATTACACTGAAAATCGCGTGCTAATTTCTCCGTGTCGCTGGCCACATCAGCGAGAGCAAAAAGTGCCATGCTACCCTTTGCAATCTGTGCTGCCTTCGTCATTATATTCACAGCAATACCATAATGCTTGTCGGTGTCAAATAAATTCAATGGGTTAAATGCATCCGCAATATTGACTAATTCGTCTAAAACGAGGGCACTATTAGCTGTAACTAACACTTCTTTGATTTGTGAGTCTAGTTCTGTTGTAAGTTTGTCAGCTCTGACTTTGAATTCAGTCAATTTTGCTTTGACATATCCAAAGTCCTGATCACTAATTCTTTCATCATATTTACTAACACCCTTAAAATATTCCGAGATCAAGGTATTTGCCGTTCGAGATTCTGATTTAGCTTTCAATAAAACGGCTAAAGCCTCGATTTCTTTAAGGGTCTTTTTCCTCAGTTCAACTAGTTTTGCATGATTAACGCGAGGAAAAAGGCGCAAATCTCGTGTTTTCTCTCTTCTTTTCCGCTTCATTTTTTGTAAAGCCTTATACTCGGCATATATTCGCTTAATAATACAAACGTCTTGTGCTTGGAGTGAGTTGCAAGCCTTAATAGAAGAGTAAAGTGATTTTTCGTGCTGCTTCAGTATAGTCATGGCCTTCTCTACCTCCGAGAATGCTCCCACTATTGTGGCCTGAGTCAAAAATAAGTCCCATGTCAAGGTACTAAAATAGGCCCTAACTTCAGACGCCATGGCTTTGATATTGTCAATCTCAGTTTTTATAGAGGACTGAAGATCATGTTGTGGAAGATTATGGCAAAGGCTTTGTGCAATCACATAACTTACTCTGTACCAAAGCAACGATACCATGATCGGTACGGCCTCTCCTATATCACATGATTTACCTGGCTTGTTACATGCAGTGCTTATGTCAGGACCCTGGTTTATCCAAAAGGTATGAGCTTTATTTGTTGCCCAAAAGCACTCTAAAGCCGACTTGCATACCTTTTTAGTGTTGAGTTTCTCACTTCTAAGTTTAGTGTTTGTTCCGAGCTCGTTTTTGATAGGGTCACACATGAGGTCAAGAGGAAGTTCGTATCCCTCGAAGCTATGGCTGAAGGTTGAGTACAGCGCATTTACGCAAAGAAAGTTCTGATAATCCTGGAAAGTTTGCACCATAATACCTAAACCTCTTTTCTCGTAATCCTCTTCTAAAGTATGATGATTGAATGCAAGTAGATGCTTCACGATGGGTTTTTTTGGTTGCTTAAGAAGAACGCTAATAAGTTGTTCGTTGCTCTCCCTAACGCTTAAGTCCAGGTACCCCAGACCATCGATCTGGAAGTAAAGCTCATAGAGGCTCTCCATGAAGTTTACTGCCCTTTCGAGAGTTGGGCTCTGACGGTGTTTGTTAAGATTAACAACCATGAGATCTCTTGCTTGCAGAGCATCGTGAATAGCCTGACCCCATGTACATTCCTGTAGTGCACTTGAAGTAGATATTAGCAAGGTAAAGACGGTAAAGATGCTCAAAAAATAAAAACGATCCATTGAGGAGCACAGAGAGAGGTTAGGCGACGTAAGCCGTTGGTTGGTATAGCTTCTACAATGGAAAAAAAATATTAAAAAAACAATATAATTAAAAGGATTACTCGAACGTTTCTATAGTAGGAGCCTGTTTGCTATTGAATTTAAATGTTTGGAATTTGGAATGGAATGTAAAAGTTCACCTTTTTTGGTTTATTGAATCAAAAGGAAAAAAAATCTTAATTCTCAGCTGGGGTAGATGGACAAATATCCGGAATTTCATAGGACACACCTGCTATAATTATCATGAAAATTTGAGGTGTGTGAGATTTCTGTTTGAAAAAGAAAACGTGATATATGTTTTCTAATTTATCAAAACAGGAGTCGATTGCATATTGGTTTAGTTCGAAGCTGGTCGAAGTGTGTTTCCTGAAATTCTCGGGAAACTACTTTTAATACGAGACATTTTCCTTAAACATTCATTGCAGATCAGATTCAAGTAAATATTTTGTTTCATCGGTCGCTACCTTCCACGAGGTGTCTTTTGACTCGAAAATGGATATAATTTGATAATAAAACACTGCGAACAGAATACGTGTTATCAACCGAGTTGATAAAGTAAATTTGCCAGCGTAAATAATTTCAAAGCTAACGTATCGAGCGTTAGCCCTCCGTAAGAGGAAAGGGCTAACGCTCTGACGAAGGGCTAACGGTCCAAACGTCTATTTTGAAACTCTTTATGGCGGCCATTTACGTTATCAACTCAGTTGATAATACCAAATTGCCTCAAAAAAGAGGATACTTAGCATTGTTTGCACTAATCTACCTGTGATAAGGTTTTAACGTATACTTGTTTTTTGTTTCGATTTTACTTATGAAAGCTGATATATTTAACACATTGATTGAGCAACTGGTGCCAATATAGAAACCTTTTATCAAACCTCCTATTCGAAGCAATTCTAACTTTAACGCTCGAAAACAATTACCGTCTCTTTTTTTTTCTATAAAGAAAGTTTCATATTCTTACCTTACTTTATTTCTTAAGAAAGTTTAATAATATATTCCTATTTTGTTAATTATTGTTATATATTAAGACTCAACAAATCATAGGTGCAATTCAAGACTGTGCAAGGTATTATAAATAAATAACAAAGAAAGAAACGAGAAAAAAAGTATATGATTGATCAAAATTGCATCAAAGAGAGACAAGCTTGAAGTTTGTAAATATTTATGGTAATTACCTTTTAGTGAAGTGTACGCAACCAGATTCCTTATTGTTACCAGAGGCACGTCGATAATAAAATGACTGCTTCACTCAGTAGACAAAGACATTACATCAATGTTCTTTTCATTACCTATTTCCTGAGTAAATATTATGTCCTATTCATTTTTAAATAAGCAGGTGACACATTAGAAAACCAGAAAAAAAACCTTTAACCGTAAATACCACCTGTGAAATTATACAACACTTTTGCTTGGTGTTTTACCAGCAATCCATATGGTATGGTGAATATGTACAATGTTTCAGGATCTGTGTTTTTTATTTCAAATCATTATGAATGTTACTTATATCCAAAACAGAATGTCGAATAAAAAGAACCACGGTCCTTTTCTTGAAACTTCATTTACAGAAAATTAGGTTTAATTGTCTTATCCGCTAGCGGAGTTGTGCAGACAAAGCAATCTGCAGTCTGGTAGAAATTGAATTGTTTTGTTTTCAACTTTTATTTGTAAGAAATATATGATTTGCAACAGATTTTTCACTGAGTGCGTATTACGCCATTGGCTATATAATCATTTTGGAATTTCTTTTCCCTCTCTAAGTTATCGAAGGTATAGTCAGTTATGTGTAATTGAATAGAAATGTACTAAATGCGTCGTCAGCTTGTATATTTGTCCTAACATTGCCCTTTATCCACACCGGTTTTCATTTCTTCTTTGAATATCTAAAGGCAACAGAGCTTTAATTTAGGTCACAGGTAAAATTCCTAGCAGAAGTCGACCAAGAAGTAGAACAAACAACCTAATTTAATGGGGAAAAACAAATAAAAAGTAGGAACTCCTGACCTTAATTAAACGAAACTATTTGTCTCAATGTTTGAGGAATCATCACAGCAGGGTAACCTAAAAATTATTTTGTGGAATTATCGTCTGCAGGAGTGCTCTGGTATTAACTGTCTAGCTTTGCACCTTGCCTCGGTTTCTTTTACGGTAATTTTCGTCCATCTAACTCGACAGAGATAACTTAAAGTATTCATGCGCTATTAATGACAGCTTGGCTAAATCAATGAACCTTCATTTGACCCGAAATCTATTGCTTACTCGAGTATCAGTTACACTAAAACGATACCTGTAGCTGACAAAACACTTTCGAATTCAAGGGCTGCAAAAAGACCAGGACGTAAGAGGTAATCTACTCATTTCAGTTTTAGATTTCCGTTATTTTTAGTGAAATAATTCTTTAACTTAATTACTGCGAAAGGGCTTTCTGTAGTTGGCATCATGTTTCGAACATGTTACACGAGAAAATCGATAAAAAAAAGACGTTCTTGAGCCCTTTGTTGAATAAAGAGTTATAAAATTTGTCACAAGAATCCGCCATGCAATATCATTTAAAAAAACGAATTAATCTCTCATTTGGGCCAAAGCTGATTCATTTAGGACGCAGATCCTACACACGGCTAGAGATTAGCATTGTCAAAAGCTGCGGCCGCGCTGAGAAAGTTAACTAAATTGGTTTATATTAGAAACCGGGTTAAAATTTCTAAAAAACTTAGCTCGCTGAAAGGTTGGTTTCGATAAAACGCTGGGGTTATATTTTGTGAACGGCCGCAATGAAGAGGGTGAACTTGACATCATTCGAGAAACTACAAAAATGCTGACTTCGAGGACCACATTGATATTTTCTCGCTTCTTTCTTTCTTTTCGTTTCGTTTCTCTACACTCACTATAATCCCTCTTCCTTCCGATGCGTCCTATGCGAACTTCCAAAGCAGTTCTTTCGAATATGATGTGGATTTTGTGTAGATGTCAGAGTGTTCTCCATCGCCGTCGATTGAATTGTCCCTCAGTTTGGCTATATCCGAGAAATCAGCGATGGCTTGAGGAAATTGCGAGTCCTGCCATGCGTGGCTTCTGTAGAGCCCTTTTGAATGAACATCAAGTCCTTTTTAAACGCTCAACTGTATTCTTTCACTTTTTATGACTCTTGCCTCCGAGTAGCATTTTACAATGGATAAAGAATTGTGTGGCAATTGGAGTGTGGCGCTTAAGAAATGTAATATGTTGTTGTGGCTGTTGTTACATGACGCTGTGATCATAAACTTATGCCCCTGTTCGTGCTACGTAGGATAACGTCTCCCGCACACCCCGCGATGACTGACACATTTCGCGAAAAAAAGAGCAAAACGCAGCACTGATAAGAGACCACAAACCTGGGTTTAACTGGGCAGAAAGGTGTTTTAAAATTAACCAAACTCGGTTAATAAACCTTTTTTTCTTCGATTCATTTCTATGTTTACCGTTGACCCAGCTTCAGTTCGATGAAAAGCCGAAAAAAGCGGCCGCACCACGATTTTTCTGTTACCCAGTTAATTCCAATTAAATAATTAGAAACTGAACTCGGTCAACTCGTGTTGTGCGGCCGCGGCCTTTGAATCTCTACTATTCATTGCTATGTTTGATTTTCCAATTAATCATCCAATTAATTCTCTCTTCGCATTACAACAATAAAGAATAAAATTGGAGTTAATGTCCTGAAATGTCTGGAATGAAGGCCTTTTATGACTGTGATTGTAACTTCTTTCCGTTACTTTTTTTTCACTTAGTTTTCCATGTGTCGATGTGCCAAAGTAAATGATGAAGTTGATGCTTGCCTGGATATCATCTCTGTCTGTTTTTCTTTTGGGTAAGATTCCTTCTGTGAGGTTTTGACATTTTGATTCTTGTCATGGTTAGGACTCGATGGATGCTTACCAAGAAGACTATACAAACTACATCATCATCTCTTGCCGAAGTTTTTTCTAACGAAACACTTAAACAATAGAGCGCGATCGAGATGTCAATTTCGATATCAGGAGAAGAGCGATAGAGATACAACATAGATTACACTCAACTGCAAGCGATAAGAAGAAACCAGTCAGAAAAAATATTGCAAACGAGAGGAAATCGTGCAATTTTATCCAATTTAGGAAATTTGATATATCTTGACTATCCTTCCTTATTTTCTGAGATAACCACGAGCTATTTATGAGTACTTTTTTCAGTTTTTTTTTTCTGCCCGTTTCCTTGTTATTCTTCACTCATAAACTATCTTTCCTATTCCCCTTTCTTTTCTTTATAATCGAATTGAAACATTTTTTTAGCCTCTCTCCCTCTTTCTTTTATATTCTGACTTTCACTCAGAGTTAAGTTGCAGCTTTGAGAGTGTAAACGGCGATTTACACTGAGATGAGATTCGGTTACTTTGAGCACTCCATCAACGAACCTCTCTCGAATTTAAAGACTAATAATTTCTCTGTTTTAATGAAAAATGATTGTACCAATCCTCTTTATAGGCTATTCAGTGGAAGGAAAATGTGAAAGTTACGATTTAGGTAAAGCAGAACATTCCTTCGATGGCGACTTCGCTGCGTGTTTCTTTACAGATCCCTACAGCGGCGCATGTCCGCATGGTTACACCAAGATTAAAGGAGATTTTTGTGAAGCCATCAGAGGCCGAAACAAGGAGAAACAAAGGGCCTGTTGTATCATACAACCTAATTTTAAAGTGAAGGTAATGCATGTTTCGATGATGCATTTTAAAGATATTTCGTATTATGACTGTATGATTATGTAATAACTCTTTATATTTCTAGGTAAGAAGTTGAAAGGAGTCTAACCCTTAAACTCCCATGAGTGACCAGGACGGAATTTCTCCTTACAATATCAATACAACATAAACCAGATAAGCGACGAGGATAAAGAAAAATATCAATTTGGGGATAATAAGCTGATCCAATACTAAATCCTCTGAACTAACATTA